AGATGTGACATAATGACGCAAGACATGCTTGACTCTCCCGCGGAAATCCACCACTGGAACTAAAAACATCATTACAAGCTTAATGCTTTGAATCGAGCTAAGGCAAGCAGATAGTTTTGAACACTGTCTGGTTATTTATTTTCTCAAATATGTATTTTGGATTATTTTTAACCCCCAAAAAAGTTACGAACTGCAGCTTTATTTAGAACTTAACGTATTTATTTCAGTGTAAGGCAGGTTTGTCTACACTTAAATGACAAAGGGACAAAAACACAATCACACATTCACAGCCAGTCCATGAATTATGTCCTAATTCAGTACAATAGTTTATGTTGGTAGCCTACTCCTGTTCTTATTTCAGAGAGTTTTATATTGACTTCCTACCAAAATAAGGTTTTGCAATATGTCTGTGTGACAGATGGACAAAAGAGAGCAGGATCTTTGTAAAAACTATTGGTGTTAAGTCGGATATCCTGTACCAAAACCAAATTGAGCAGCTCACTGTTTTTTTGGCGCTAGTGTATGGCATCTTGGCCATCATGGTGTATTATGGCCTCTTACACAACTGCACTGTAGGGGAGCTGTTCCTGTGGGTATTTTGACTAGACTGTCACCAGCAGGTGTGTGTGTGTTTGCGACCCTGGCGTCAAGGTAACGGAACTGCTTGTCTGCCACCAGAATCTTTTTTGGTTCTTCCTAAAATGTTGCTATCAATCAGCTGTCTCGGAGAAACAAGCATATAGCCGTTCTTTCGAATTTTGGAGAGGGACTTAAACCTGAATGCACACAGACTCATGGGGACTTGTGTCACTGTGGAGACCTAAATTGAGGTCCCCATGGGTACAAAAGATAAATCATACAGAATGAGTTTTTTTGAAAATGTAAAAATGCAGAAAGTTTTGTGTGATGCTGGTTTAGGGGTCAGGTTAGTTAGTGTAAGGAGACAGAATTTGGACAGTTTGGACAGTATAAAAACCATTACATCTTTGGAGAGTCCACACAAAGATAGCGAACCAGACTGTGAGTGTATGTAATGAAGAGAGTAAAGACATAAGGCAGAAGAGTGAGTCTTTCTAACAGTCAAAGACAGCTGCAGAGGATTTCTCAAAGATCTGTGTGTGATTGTGAGATGTGTGCATGTGTGAAAATTTGTTTGTGTGTCCTGAATCTACTGTTGCACTGCTGATTTGTAGTGTTGTCTGAATTTTTATTTCGCTATATAATTCACTTGACTGCATGAACTTTGGTATACTGTTCAAACATTCTGGGTCGGTAAGATTTTGTAATGCTTTTGAAAGAACTCTCTTATAGACTCCAAGGCTACTTTTATTTTCATCAAAAATACCATGAAAACAGTGATATTTGGAAATATTATTACAGTTTTAATATATTTTAAAATGTTATTTATTTCTGTGACTCAAAGCTGAGTTTTAAGACACATTGAATGTTTAAATAAACAGGAATTTTGTAACATTATAAATGTCTGTATTGTCTCTGATCAATTGATCAATTATGCATCTTTGCTGAATTACAGTGTTAATTTAATTATTTAAAAAAAAAAAGAAGAAGCTAACTGACCCCATAATTTCATAACATCATTTTCATTCACTCTTTCCCTTTATAGTGAGCAATAAGGCATTTGCTATGTAGGAGGTGAATGAGTGACCGAGTGAGTAATTTCAGACACAGCATGTGTGTTGTTGGGTAATCCAGTGACCCATATTTCATTGCTAGCATCATTAGCCCTTTGCACAGCTAGCAACAGCTACACAAATAAACCAACAAATCATTCACAGAACACCAGTTTTTTTTTTTAACTACAGAAAAAGTTACATTTTATTGAGGAACATAAAGGACATGTTTATGATATTAATGCATTCTAATTAACAAATACTTAAGACAAATACAATAACAAAAGTTTTGGGGTAATTTCTTGCTTTTTTAAAATACTTATATCGTTGTAATATCTTTGTGCCATTTTGTGCATATTTTAGTTTTTTTGTGACCCTTTTTCACTCTCTCGCTGACATTTTAAATTAAATGGGCTTTTTTTTTAAAATACCTCTTACCATGTGAAATGAGCAACAGACTATAGCGTTGCTGTTAAAGGTTCTCAAAGCGATCCTGGGTGTTGACGTTGGAGACGAATATTTTCAAACAAATCGGAGCTAGACCCCTCCTCCGCATCTCATCTCCTCCCCCTCCCTTCCGTGCTTCCTGAAATAATTGTGAACGTGCATAGTTCTAGCTAATTATATCCTTGTGTAGGTTTGGCGAACATAAGCGTCAATTTAGAAGAAAAAAAACAATTTAACGTTACCCACCTGTCAAGCAAAAACAGAGCAACCTGAATGTCGGACTGGAAGCCCTTCTGCCGCCGGAGTTCTCGCCATCGTTTCGCCAAAAGCTTTGCTATGTAAATTCGGAACTTCGCACATTCTTTATCCGACTCCTTCTTCTTTTTAATTTGTTTCTCAGAACGACGTCTCTTTGGTCGTGTGTCGGTAATTTTTCAAACTTCCCTCTGATGCTTCGCTGCTCTCCTTCACACACACACCCTTCATGTGCACGCGCACTAACCCCCCAGACCCACCCTCAAATACTTCTTGCCAGTGATTGGCTGGAACACTGTTTGTTAGGTTTCGTGGTCCGGGTAAGACATGATTGTTTTTGTTGCCGTTTGTGGAGCCTGTGGTGTCTACAGAGACCGCGTTTTTTTACAGTGTGTTTAGGGGACAGGCAGCTAGCCGATAGTGAGGAGACGTTTGATGTATGTGACAAAAAATGTTTTGGCCCCACATCGCTTATAGAACCTTTAAGCTTAATATAATTGTTTTACCTTATCCTTAAATAACAGCCTTTTTGCAAAGCAAAATATCTATGCTAAAAATCAAAACAGACAATTCTTATTTTTACAGAATATTGCAGTATTTTTGCAGTAAAAGCCTTTATTCATGTGCCTTCGTAATCTTTAATCAAAACTTCATCTCCCTCTTACAACTCTTCCTTGATGACGTATATTTCATCTCACATGATATCACATCAATAGAAATCCAGAATTGATCCAATCAATTCCAGATGGATAGAATGATGTCCCGGCCTACATTTTTTCTTGTTCGAGAAGCCGTTTCACTCAGAAATGAGTCATAATAGTGAAGAAAAGACAAGTGCCGCTTCCATTTTATGCCGACTTTATGATCTGAAAGGAATGATTTGGAATCTGCTAAAAATAAACTTTGAAAGCATGCAGAGCAACATGTTTCAGGATGTATTAAAAGGGTGCTATAATGACCTTTTCACAAGATGTTAAATAAGTCTTAGATAAGTCCACATGTGAAGTTTTACCTCAAAATACCCCACAGATATGTTTATATAGCATGTTAAAATTTTTTGAGGGTGAGCAAAAACGCACTGTTTTTGTCTGTCCCTTTAAATGCAAATGAGCTGTGGCTCTCTTTCAAGAAGAGGGCGGAGCTTGTCCTTTTACCTGACTTTTTGCTTTTTATGTTCCCACTGGAGTCAGACAATGATGGAGAGACTCAAGAAGTAGAGCAACATGTAGAATGCAACAGGACATTTCTGAATGGTTAATTGATGAATTTATGTAGCTTATGTCTATTATCTTCTAATCATTGATTAGCATATTCTGTGATAATCTATAAATACCTTTCCGGGGCAGGGTTTATGTAAATTTTAGGGTTAGTGATGTCACCAACCTGGGAGGAATGTCCTGTAGTCCCTTCCAGCCGCTTGTTGTAGTCCTTAAAAAATCAATTTCTTGAGCGTTGTACCTTTGTAGACGTTATTTATGTTCAAACAGCAACAGTACAGTTAGAAAAGTGAAATCATAATCAACCACCCCTTTAAGGAATGATAGCATTTATGGGTTTCTCCTCATTACCTTTGCTCCATCATCCTATCATAATGTCATTATCTTCATAATGAAAATCATAATCAACTCTGCAGTTTAGACATGATCTAATATGGCACATATTAATGTATAATCATATTGGGAATGAATGAAGAGAGCAGAGAGAGAGAGAGAGAGAGAAAGGAAGGAATGTGATTCATCAGGTTAGCAGATATTGGGTAATTCAGAGAAGTACAGTGTTCATGTTAATAGTCCTGTTTGATGCTGTGGCTTCCCTTCTTAGCAGCTGAAGGACAATGGACAATGAGTGACCTTGTACTGATTTACAGGTCAGCTGTTTCCTGCTCTAAGAGAAGCTGTGTAAAGGTTTAGGGGCTAACAGGTTTATGGGTAATTGCGTGTGTGCTTGCAGGTTTTTGCCTTCATTCCAACGTGCTTTGCATCATTGAAAATAATCTTTACTAATCTCAACTACTTGGTCATGTACTTGGCAATATAGAACAAATTCACATTCTTTTTCTCTCTTTTAACATACACACATGTTTGGTGTGTGTGTGTGTGTGTGTGTGTGTGTGTGAATGTGCTAAGTAAGGGCAGGTTATCTAGTTTAGTAGTTTACTTGTGCTCATTAAATGCACACATACTCTACATAGTTGATATAATCACTCACACACAGAAAAACATACACATACATAACCTACATATTTATACACTCTAACTGATCTACAGTAAACACACGTTGTGCATCTAGATATATCAGGAATTGCCCTAATAACTACCAGAATATGATTATCTGACAAAAAAGCAGCTGTTGTTCTTCTAAAAAACAATTTTGTTTTTTAAACTTAGAACGACCTATGAGCCTGTGAACACACTCACATAATATAATGGCAATATCATAACATATTAAACTTTGGGATACTACCGTTTCTCCCTAAAGAAATATATAGCATCTTTTTGCATTTAGATCTAAAATATAATCTAAAACTATAGAAGAGGAATGTGGACAATTCATTTGACTATATTCAAATTGCTCCAGTCACATTAGCACGGTCTTACATTTACATTAAATCATTTTTAATCAAGTTTTCCCTGATGATGATGATTTTGCTCTTTGTGTGCTTGACAGGCAGTGACAGGAAGAAGTTTTGGTGATAAGGATTTCAGAAGTGGGCTGGAGAACGGCATTCTGCTCTGCGAGTGGGTTTTACACTTTATATGTACATTTAAAATGTTTAGTGGAAGTTGCCATTTCTGTAGTTATTTTTTTTTTAATTTATTTCAACTTATTGATTTATTCATTATTTAAATAAATGCAGGCACTGCAAATGAATTAATATGCGAGTGTATATACAAAATAAAAATAAACATAAACATGTTTGCATAAGCATACAAATTAAAACAGTTATTTAAAAAACTGGTTTATTGTCCAAACTATAGTCATAATGTCTAAAAAAAGAAAGGAATTTTTGCAGTATCAAGAGTCATTTTGATGATGGTATGATTCAACCCCCATATTATTGTTCTCTAATGTTATATCTCTCTTTTTCTCTCATTATGTGACTCATTAGGTTGCTGAGTTCAATCAAACCAGGGCTTGTGAAAAAGATCAACAGACTCCCAACTCCCATTGCAGGACTGGTGAGTGCGGTTATTGTGTGTTTGTTTGCTCATTTGTTCTTTTGTATGTGCCTATTTGTGTCAGGCAGTCTCTGCATTGCTGTCTCAGAACAAATAAGTTTCTGTCTGTGTCTGTGGCAGTTATTTTACATTTCATGGACGTGCACAGACATTTTTTAGGGGCAGGGGTCCAAACTGGCCGAGAGGGGCACTTCAGCTGATAAGAGTCGAGGGGCATTGGCTCAAGCAACCGGGCCACCCCCTTTCAACATCCCTGTTATATTTACCTCATCAAGATATCCGATAAATACATACATAATAACTGAAGTTTATTCTGGTATTACCATGGTATTTTATTGTAAGTCTCCCTCTCTCTCTCTCTTTCTCTCTCTCTCTCTCTCTCTCTCTCTCTCAATTCAAACCAGAATTGCTTTATTGGCATGCCTGTAAATAATACAATTGCCAAATCTTGGAATACATAGAAATGTAATAAAAACATTAAAATAATTGAAGAAAATATTATAGCATAATTTTAAATAAACAGTGTAATATATTAGAACGTGAGAATACAAGTGTTTTAACAAACACACACACTCTTCCTCACACAAACACACACACACACACACACACACACACACACACACACACAAACTGTGAGGTTTTGCCTGTAATTGCATTATATGTCTTTTCTCTTTTTAGGATAATCTGACCATGTTTCTGAGAGGATGTGAAGAGCTGGGATTGAAGGGATCACAGTTGTTCGATCCTGGAGACCTGCAAGATACATCGATACGTGCAAACCTAACGTATGTGTGTGCCTATGTGACCAGATTATACACGAAGAGGAAACTGATTATGTGCATAAAAATGAATGAGATAAATCATAATCAGTTTGGCAGCTACAGAACATCTTAAATCAGTCATTCACAGCAGCTCATCTTTTTGCTCTAGAACGTAATATATTCATTTTAGCTAACCAATAAAAAGAAGAAGCTATTGAAACATAAGCTTATCCAACAGATTTTGGAGAATTTGGTTAATCCCTATTCAAGTAAAAAAGAGAGCTGTTCTTATAAGTCTGTTCAAAGGAGTAAAGATGTTTTTTTTTTTTTACTCAGCAAGGATTCATTAAAATGTGCAAAAGTGACATTTTTAGAATGGCAATGACTTTTAGATTGCTAGAAAAAAAATCGATTTCAAATAAATAATACTTTCTATTTATCAAAGAATTCTGAAAAACAAAAAAAAACACAAAAAAAATAACATCACGCTTTCCTTTTGGAAATATTAAAGGAGTAGTCCACTTTTTAAGAAAAAAAACATTTGCTGATAATTTACTCACCCCCATGTCATCCAAGATATCCATGTCTTTCTTTCTTCAGTCGAAAAGAAATTAAGTTTTTTGATGAAAACATTCCAGCATTTTTCTCCATATAATGCACTTCAATGGGAACCAAACGGTTCAAGGTTCAAATGGGAGTTTCATTGCAGCTTCAAAGGGCTTTAAACGACACCAGACGATGAATAAGGGTCTTATCAAGCGAAACCATCTGCCATTTCAAAAATAAATAAAAAAGTTTAAGTTTTATAAGCACAAATGGTCGCCTTGCTCTGTTCTGTGATGAACGTTCGTGACTCTCCTGTTCGAACTCGTTCATCAAAATGAACAAATCTTTTTTCGAGTCATGACTCCTAGATAAGACACTTATTCATCGTCTGGTGTCGTTTAAAGCCCTTTGAAGCTGCACTGAAACTCTCATTTGGACCTTGAACCGTTTGGTGCCCATTGAAGTCCATTATATGGAGAAAATCCTGGAATGTTTTCATCAAAAACCTTAATTTATTTTCGACTGAAGAAAAAAGACATGGACATTTTGGATGACATGGGGGTGAGGAAATTATCAGTTAAAGTTTTTTTTTTTTAAAGTGAACTACTCCTTTAAGTAGAACAATTGATTTCAACATTGATTATAATAAGAAATGTTTCTCAAGCACCAAAGCAGAATATCAGAATGATTTCTGAAAGATCACGTGACACTGAAGCCTGGTGTAATGATGCTAAAAAATCAGCTTTACCGTCTCAGGAATAAAAGATTTTTTAAAATATATTCAAATTGAAAATAATAAAATTTCTCAATATCAGTGTTTACTATATTTTTGAGCAAATAAATGCAGCCTTGGCAAGCATAAGAGATGTATTTCAGATACAGTGCGGTTGTGTATATCATGACATCGGGCCATATGGTTTCATTCATATAGCAAACAGCTGTCTGATCTAGCCTAGATAGTCATGATGTGAGTCACTGACTTGCCTTAAAAGCACTTTGATGTGGCTCATTTATAGCTTGAAAGGACTTACAGTCGTCTTATGCTATTTTCTCTCTCTTTTTCTGCTGTAGAGGCTCTGACTGCAGTAGAAAGCTGAAGAATGTAAGTGCACTGAACTGTCTGCTTAATCTTTACATGTGAATTTCTACAACTTTTACATTTTATTTAATGTTATTCTTCACTATTTTTTGAATGATTAGGTGCTCATAACCATATACTGGCTCGGTAAAGCTGCTAACAGCTGTGCAACGTATAACGGCCCCACACTCGACCTGAAAGAGTTTGAGGGGCTCCTTTCCATGTTGCGAAAGGTAAATTAAATCCAGTCAAGAACACTAATTCTGATTAATTAAATATACTGTATGCTATAATGTTTTTCGTTCTCTATATTTTTAATGTTTGTGCACAGGAGTGTGCAAATGAAGAGTTGGACTCCCCTAAGCGCAGTATACGGGACAGCGGTTACATTGACAGCTGGGAATCGGAGCGCTCTGATTCGCTGTCTCCTCCGAGGCACGGCCGAGATGATTCGTTCGACAGTCTCGACTCATTTGGCTCTCGATCGCAGAACACACCCTCTCCAGACACAGTTATCCGCTGCAACAGTGATGGTATGACTTTATCCTTTACATTTTTATTAGATTTATTATAGATTTATTTACATTTTATTTTTTAAATTTTTTTATTAGATTATGCTAGGCAATATTTTCAGCAGTAATGATGCATTCACAATGATTTAGGTGGTGATGCAAACGTAGACAACATTGGAATATAAATATGTCTTGCAATTCATGAGAAAGAAAAATGGTCAAAAATGTTATATACTGTTCTTTTGTACTTCCTATTTCTCAAGAAGTCCTGAAAAATATATAAATAAATATATCAAACTGTTTTCAAAATTGATAGTAATAAGGAATGTTTGTTGAGCAGGAATTCAATGTCCACATCCAAACATTCATGCAAGAGAGGCTGAGGGTAAAAACTCTGGATTCAAAGAGAAGAGTCATACATTTCTACATACAGTATGTCAGTGTGGGTGTGAGAGTGCAGCTGTTGTGCTGGACAGACATTCACACACTCATCTGTGTGCTGAGTGTGTGAGAGGGTTCACATGAACTGCATTTTATTAGTGAATCCAGACATGGACAACAGGGAAAAACAGGGACTGAAAGAACATAAAAGCCCAAGAAACTTCTAAACTATAAATTGAATTTGTGTGTGTGGTTCAGGTATACCCTACGCTACGGGGACAAAATGTCTCCAAAACATGGCGAAATCCTTGGTCTTGTGGGGACATTTATTGGTCCCTTATGAGGAAAACAACTTATAAAGCATGCTAAGTGATGTGTTTAAAAAAAATGTAAAAATACAGACAGTGTTCTGTGATGGGTTTTATGGGTAGGGTTAGAGTTAGGAGATATATACAATTTCTACAGGATAAAAATGATGTCTTTGAAATAAAACATGAAAACCCAACGTGTGTGATTTTCAGTTTAAAGATAAACCAGCACTGTTATTCTGATTGTTTGATTGTTTGAAAAAATAGAAAAAAAATGTATTAGATTTATAAAAATAACTTTATTTGTTTTAAGTTTTTTATTTATTTAAGTATTTTACTTCATGTCTCATAACTAAATAAGACAGACAGTGGAAGTATTACAGCAAGAAGCTTCTTGGCATGTCAATGTCGTTCATGAAAAATGAACTCATTCAATATGGCAAATATGGTGTAAGATGTTTAAGCTTGTAAATATTTGCACTCAAATACATGCACTGAGCCTTTCATTAATCTTGGCCCTGATCCGGATGATGGTCAGATGGTGACATCTCACCTCATATGCAATGTATGTGTTGAAATATGAATGCTGGTTCTGTGTATCTAGTAATTTAATCTAAAAAGAAACTAATACCAAATGGCGCTTTCTTTCAATATGTCCTTCTCACAGACTCTGAAGGTGACGGTGGTTTAAGGAAGTTGCCAGACATGCGTAAGGATGACATGTCTGCCCGTCGCGTGTCCTACAAAGAGCCTCGTGCCGCCCTACCCTTCAACCAGTATCTGCCGAACAAGAGCAACCAAACCAACTACCTTCCCGCCCCCCTGAGGAAGAGGAGGAGCGAGAGAGAGGAAGACAGGAGAAGTCCAAGCAACTCAACATCTCCTGTAGGGGGAGAAAGACCTCTCAGGTAATCACAGCCGCTGTGATCGACAGTAAGTGTTTGGTTTGTTTGATTTCTCAGGGAATTGGCAGGAAATTCCTCTTCTGGCTACACAAAAATCTGTACACAAGCATCATCTGTTTAATGTGTCAGAGTTTGTTTTATTCATCCTGTTTTATCCACGTGTGTTTGTGAGAGCTGTGAAATTCCCTATTGCTCCCCACAGACAAGAATGCGTAGAAATGGTAAAAGAGGGGGCTGGCGTGTCTCGAAGCCTTGGATTGAAGAAAAACTTCACCTGGGCTGATGAGAAAGGGGCAGAGCGTGAGGATGCTGAGCTTAAGAAAATAAGGAAGCTTGAAAAGTCGGGAATTAAAGTATTACCCGCCTCTGTGCGATTTAGCAGGTTAGCGGTCAAAATGAGATCTTTCGGCATGTGTATGCAGCGACTAAAACTGCTAACTAGATGTGTGTGGGACCTTGTTAAAAATTGGTGCTGGTGGTAACCACAAAACTTGTGTGTTCAAAGCCATGAGTTTGTCATGTAACTTAGGTTGCTGTGTGGGGAGTGACACTATGTACGTTTGCTTTCGATTTGTGCTGCCGATTTATTTGTGCTACATTATAGCATGGAGTGACACAGTTGTCAATTGGCTTTAACCTTTGTAGCTTGGCTAATGTTGTGTAGCGCAAAGTTATACTGGCTTGTTCTGTTAATTGGATGTGACCCTTTGACTAGTCTGAATCTGTTTATGCTAGGTTGTAATGAAGTGTGCGTGTGTGTGTGTATTAGTTGTTTTTTATTGGGTTGAGCAGATAATGCTAGTTATGCTAATATGACTTATTTTAAAGGGATGAACTCCTGATATGGAAGCACTAACATCTCTATGTTATCGAGTGCAAAAGTTGGTTAGTCAAGTTATGTCCCATTCATTTTTTCTTTAGGGGAATTTCTTTTCAACGATAGACTAACTTGTGTGCTATAAGGTTGTTAATCGATGGTAAATGCTTGGAGCAATCAGCCCAGCAAACACAGAACGTTCCCCTAACATTCCTGAATGGTCCCATGAGGTTATTTTGTTGGGAACCAAACAAGAACATTATAGGAATGTTCCATGTAGGTTATTTTTAGGTTCCGTTTTTATAATGTAAGGAGAATGTTCCGGGAACGTTCCCTTAACCTTAAGGGAAAGTTCTGGGAACCAAAAACTAATCTTCCCAGAACCTAAATTTGTTTCCTGGGAGTCTGCATTGTCTGGAACTAAGTTGCAACTTATTTTTAAATGTTCATATTCAACAGTGGAATTCCTGGTGAAAAAACGACATTAGCCACCATGGTTCTGCAGGGAAATGGAATAATCACAATCAGCAAATCATGTTAAAATAACTCTTTAGCGCCCACCGACTCCCTTGAAGCACCACGAATGACTTACACTCTCAAACTCATATGCATATTTTGCAATAAATGTTGAATATATTGTATCTATATGTAATCAACATCTTTAAATCAATAGTTTTAAATTTCAAAGTTTTTTATTTATGTCATTATGTTTTATATGGGGAAAATGAATGGGAAAAATACCTCTGGAACCAAGGCCACTGAAATAGTGGATGCACTTTTGCACTCTATTTTTGCTAAAATATTTTCAAATGTTGCCATGGTGAATTTTCTCCTCAGTCCAATCAAGGATCCTGTGGAGGATAATAAAGCTAAACCACCTTCACCTGACATCATTCTTCGGCGTGACAATGACTTCATGCGGGCTGCAGCCCCACATCAGTGGGACTCGAATGAGGAAGATGAAGATGCAGAGGCAGAGCAGAAGGTTCCAGATGTCCAAAAGGATGATCTTGCTTCTCGCAGAGCCCGCATGAATCAATTCAAACCAAGTGTTGCCCATAACTTCCTGCCAGGCTCTTGTAGTTGGAAGGACCGAGAGAAATGGGAGGGGATTAGGCTGGCATCCCAGCATGCTGTGTTGGAGAGAATGGAGAAGATGGAACTGGAAAAAAAGAGGTGTGCTTGTGTCCGAGAGTGATGGGGTCATATGCTCAGACAGGGACTAGTTATGTTGGCTTAACAAATCCAACACAATGCCATTGCACGCTGCTTTGAGTCAGGGTTTTTTCTCATAGAGCTTTTAAGTTACATTCACTAAACTCTGCACAGCCCTTAGTCTGTTCTGAGTGATTATATCTTCTCTATCTGATTGAAATTCTCCTAGTGCACGATCAAAAATTAGTGCAGTTTCAGTACATCTTTTCCCTGCTTTCCCCCAATGCCCTACCAACCTGAACACCTCAGCAACTGACTAGCAACCACTTAGAACACCCTAGTAACCACATAACTACCCCATAGCACTAACCCACTGAAGTGCCTTGAAATGTGCAGCGTTATTCAATGTGTTGACATAATTTTCACTGAAACAGGAACACAGTGTGGGACCATAGACTGTAAAAAAATATCGGCGTAGTGTCTGTGATGTCACCTGTAGGTTTCTGAAGAGCATTTTTGAAGCCCAAAGTGGGCGCCATTTTGGTAGCGTATCACTGCTCGTCACTCCTGGATAAACGAAAATGGGCAAAAGGGCAAAACTAGCTGAGTTGACATGGCTAACAGACAGCAGTTTTTTTTTTGAAATTGCGCCGAGAGGAAGGAGAGTTCCACCTCCTTATCAAGGAGTTGCGAATTTATCCCTAGCGATTCAAAATTTACTTCAGAATGTCAGTGGGACAGTTTGACGCTTTGCTAGCGATTCTGGAGCCACATATTAAAAACAAGACTACCAATTTCTGTGAACCAATCGATTCTGAACAGAGACTGGCAGTATGTCTAAAGGTATGGACATACACACCCGCGCGCGGCCCGGTGGAAGCGCTGGGCAGACAGAACAGCTGTATAGGCTGTTATATATTATGCCCAAATAATAGGCTACATTAGTTATCGAATTGGCTGCTCAATCACACTCGATCCGAAATTTCAACCTGATTAAAAGGGGAGGTTTATTAATTTCATAATCCAATCGAGAGAAGAGAACATACACACTTGATCGAATTGAAAACCGAAACTGAAAGCACCTCGCATATGTGCAATGATTTGAGAACGAGCTCCCCCCGGCTCTGAATTGTCAAAAGACCTCTCAAAATGCTGGCTGTGGATGCGAAAAACGCAGAAAATCGAACCCGATCCGATTAATTTTATGGCGAAAGTTTCGACGAAGGAGGCGGTGTGCAAGCGTGATTGACATAACGTGAGGTCGAATTTTTTTTTCAACGTGCAAAAATTTCGGATGCGAATTTCGGACTCAGTGTGCAATGGCCTTAAGGCTTAATAAAATTTAAACGGATGAAAATTCACCCACCTCACAGTTGTGAGTCAATTGGGCATAATTAGCTATATAGACCAAAACCACTTTTTGCTCCAGGCTGTAAACACATTTTTTTTTCTGCTGTGAACTTTAGCAGGGCATTTTAGGAGTATATGGGATTGACTCTCTTTTGCAGTCTGTCTCTAGCGGCCAATCGACGAATTACAGTTTAAGTCACTTTCGTGTTGGTTTCAAGAGAGAGATTGGAAGGTTGCCGCTTGGGTGAAACATCAAACAGCTCCTCCCCCTTTTTTTTAGAATAGCCAATAACATTTATTTTCTATCACTGTTCGGCCAGAACTGTTAAACTTGGTAAAGCTGTGTTTTCCTCCTAATCTCTAACCATTTATCCTCCTATTCTCCTCCATATCGCTTCAATGGGGTTCAAATGGGTTCGATACGTTTTCTGGTATGTGCCGACTGGTGCATTTGATTGCTCTGTTATTGTGTCTCTGGACTGTGTGCGTGCTGCGTCGGTTTGCTTGACATTTCCCCAATGGAAAGCATATTTACACTGTCTGAATCATTCCCAGTCCCCTAGTGCACTATGTGCTATTCACCATGTAGAAAACATTCAGTATGACTGATTTTAGTTGCAGCATCAGCGTCTCTTTTATAATGTGGGGGGTGGGACCCTTTATATTCTACATTCTAAAGAACGTTTGATTGGACAGAAAATCTGATGAGAAGCTGAAGTGCTAAGTTATGTAATCAAAATCATCAATATTGGCGGACTGTAGGTTTTAAATGCTTAAATCTTCTAAATACAAATTTTGTCATTGTTTTGAAACACATTACCTTATAGATACAGTAAAGCTAGTATACACTACCTTAACATTAGAGCTAACATACTTCTATTTTGATTTCATCAAAGTAGCTCTAATAACTTTTATGATTACAGAGTTTCGCCCTATATACCAAACATGTGGTATTATGCATTTTATATAGTAATTAGGTGTATTATAGCTAACTGACTATGATCATACTGGATGTGATTATTGGAATGTTTTCTATGTTCTGAACTTCTGTGGGATTTAAGCATCCATTTTCTTGTGCCTCTTATAATATTACATTTCTACCACAGTCAGGCTGACTCCGCCCTCCCTGAGATACCAATCATTACTCGTAAGGACAGTCCTTTCCTGAATCTTGAAAAAGAAAGGGCAAAAGAAGGGGATGAGGAAGATATGAAAGAGGTAGAAGGGAAGATAGTTGTCCCAAACCCACACAAAGATGATCTAGCAAGGAGGCGGACTGAGGGAAGGCCACGCCCTCCCAAAGATCCTCATCAGTCATTGGTCCAGACTTCCATCACTCAATCAGACCTGGAAACATGGCAGAGACTCAAGATGAATACAGAGAGCAGGTGCCTTGAAATAAACACACACACTTTCTCATACATTTTTCTGCTTTTCATACATTGACCACAGTGTCAAAATTAACACTTTATGAGTCCCTTGAGTAAATAAACTAGGGTTACTGGTTATTTTGCTGGTAACTTCATTAGGAACTGTAACCTTATACATAGTTTAAATTTGATGTTAAGTAAGAAGTATAAAAAGTATGCAAGAAAGAAAAAAACTAAATAATCCCATTGTTATTGGAGCAAAGAAGGAATAAATAGAAAAATTAAAAATTATCGTAACAATAGATGTATTTTAATGTTAATATTTTGTTATTTATATCCAATGTTAAGAACATATTTGAATTTACTTGCTATTGTATTTGCATGTGTGGCAAAAAGTTATTTCTAGACCCATATATCCATTTTCTCTCTCTCTCTCTGAGTATTCTGGTCAGTCCTCTTGCTAAGCTCAGTTTATCCTTCATACTGATCTACAGTGAGTCTGACTCCACCCCTGCTGAAGTGTCAATCTTAACCCGCAAGGACAACCCCTTCCTGACTCCTGAGAAAGAAAGTGGGAGTGAGCAGGAGAATGAGGAAGGGACAGTCAGAGAGAAAGTGGGGTGGGTGGTGATGCCTGATGTAAAGACAGATGACCTGGCCAGAAGGCGGGCCCAAAGTGGGTCCGTCCCACAGAGAGACCCCCTGCAGTCATTGGCTCAAACAACCATCACTCAGTCAGACCTGGAGAAATGGCAGAGGCTCAAGATGAATACAGACAGCAGGTGCCTGACATGTGACTTTTATGTCTGACCCCTGACCTAACATGACTCAACAACACACTTCAAGAGCTTTTAGAATTTTCACATGGGTGAAACTCTTATACTCTAATTGTATGTTTTATTGTGTTTTTTCACACATAAAACAGATGACACCACTCCAGTTTCTGATATTCAGTCAATTATCCAAGCAAATAGCCTTATTGGGTTTTTTTTTCCAGCTTGTGTCAATAGACCTTATGTAGCCCCTCCACCTTTTCAGCGTTGCGCTCGTTGTCTTTTGACTTCCGGTCTGTATTTTCACAGCCATCTTGCATAGGTATGAATGAACTGCTCGTAAAAAAATTCCCGGTGGACATTTGTTAAGACATCTGCTTTACAATGATTATGATAAACATTACAATGCTCATGATAACTTTTGTTAACTCTACAATAAGTAAATCCACTTCACCAGCTAATTACTCCTCGACAGCGATGCCATAGAAATATACAGAGCGACCGCAAAAACGGAAGTTCAAAGACAATATTCTAAAGATGACGGTGCCCACGTTTCTCTGGTACATAAGGTCTATAGCACTGTGTCCTCACCAGACATGGTGCAATAAAGGAACAGGCAATATAATTGTGTTCATGTAAATTATATCCATAATTATATTTATATAAGTTATTTTATTATTCCTTTTTTTTTTTTTTTTTTTTTGGCAGAACACGTTTTCCCCACTGTATCATTGCCCTTAACTTGCACACAAGTTGTAAGTTAAAAATTACATTCAAAATACACTAGAGTTCAAAAGTTTGGGGTCTGTATGATTTTTTGGGGATTTTTTTTTTTTTTTGTCATTATTCAGCAAGGACAAATAAAATTTATCAAAAGTGACATGCATGTATGTTACAAAAGATTTATATTTAATAAAACTTTTGATTTATCAAAATATCCTTAAAGAATGCCTCATGGTTTAAGCTGCTTAAGATTTTTCAATATTGATTTCAATCTTGAGCACCAAATCAGCATATTAGAATGATTTCTGAACCCAAACTTTTGAATGGATGTTTAAGTTATATTGTGATGTAAAAAAAAAAAAAAAAATACTCAAGTTCTAGGTATCTAAATAAATATTTTCCACTTAATATTTTATTATTTTATTGAGGCTTTAGTACAAGGACAAATAAAGCCAATAATGTTATCTTATTAATATCTCACGTAATATTTTCCACACGCAGTATAAATGAGTCTGCATACCATTTCACAAGATGTAAACAACACTGGTCCAGAAACACTTCCTGTTTCAGTTTGTAACTGTTTTCTTTATTTCACATGTAAAGAAAACATCTTAAAGATGCTTGTTTAACTTTTTGATTCAATTTTAAATGTTCTGTTGGTTGTATTTTATCCCAGCTTTTATGTAGTGTTAAAAAACTGAAACAGGAAGTGCTTCTGGACCAGTGTTGTTTACATCTTGCAAAGTCTTCAAATACTTCTGATTGGCTGTCATTGTGTGCCATCACACATTTTTGCAGTCAGTGTAGACAGACAAATCACTTGTTGCTGAAAAAGTATTGCGGCTGGTTAAGACACAGTGCGAGCCTAGAATGTATTTAAATCAGTCACAGATTAGAGCCAAAAAGCTCTGTCTGCCATTGGGTGAGTGCTGCGTAAGAGGGCTCTGTGTCTTGTTACGCTGTTGTGGAGATGTTTGTTGAAGTGGGCCTTTGTGAGACTCATTCTGTTTGCAGAGGGAAGCCCCTCTCAAGCAAACAGACGTCACCAAGGCAACTATTGAAACCAAGAGATGCTTGCAGAGAAAGAGGGAGGGGAGCATGTGAGTGTAAGACCACATACTAAACTGTTGTACAGGAGCCAAGGCTGTGCATCATTCCTTGAGTTTAGTAATTTCCCTTTAAAAGAGTCCAAAGGCCATGCTTGCATCAGCATCAATGGGTTTATTTGGTAGATTCCCATCCAGACATCCATGACAATCCTCTCTATATCATTGACTTGACTGTTTTCAGACTGACGTGGTCTTTCTTCATTAGTTTTAGTGTTCATAATTCCCTCTGCTCCTCTAATTCTTCTCTCTTTCTCTTCTTTACTCACATGTCTCATGTATGTGTGTGCGTGTGAACAGCGATGACCCTATTGTCCCTCTGTGTCAGACGTGTCTTGAGAAAGGCTGCCTCTCTGTCTCCTCCAAGACGAAGGTTGCCAAGAACGACCTGGCCGGTTGCCAGGAACGTTCCTCCGGTGAACGGCGGCGTTTTGTGACATTTGGGGGTGTGACAGAGATGGAGAATACTTCCTGGAAAGAGGAGGAAGATGAGGAAAGGGAAGAGGGACAGGGGGACGAGGCAGAGAAGCTTCGGTATCTCCTCTCGATGGCAACCGTTGCTGTGCCCACCATAGGGCTGGGCTCCAGACTGACAAAGAGAGCAGTGGGCAGGTAGGGAGAGAAAGAAAGACAGCAGAGAAGGATAGATCATGCACATTCATGCACAACAGACCAAAAAGGGGACCAAAAAGAGGTTCAAAAGTTATTTTGTTTGTTTTTTAAACTAGAACAGTTAATATAGCTTCTAATAACAATTTTCCACTCTATTAAAAATAATTAATTCCAAGCCTATAAGAGGTAAACAAGCCTCTTTTTTTTTCTTTTTTAACTTTTTTTTTTTTTTATTAGCTGCTGTGCCTTTGGTTAGTTCACCCCAAAATGAAATTGTGTCATTAATTACTCATCCTCATGTCGTTCCAAACCTGTAAGACACAAATTAAGATATTTTTTTATGAAATCTGAGAACTTTCTGTCCCTCCATTGGCAGCTATGCAACTACACCACTATACCCCGTTCAAGCCCCTGGAATAAAAGTAATCCATGTGACCCAAGTGGTTTAACCTCAATTTTATGAACCGACGCAATTGCTTTGTTTGCGCAAAAACATAATTTACCACTTTATGATACTATACAAACAAACTTGGCTTGCCTTGCCTTATGCATAATGTCATAAGAGCATAATGACGCATAAGAATTGTGTTGATGTGAGAGTAGACGTTGTTGCGTGACTGTGCATTGGAGATTAATATTTTGTAAAGTGATATACTGTTTTTTTGTGCAAACAAACGCTTTATAAAATTGAGGTTAAACCACTTGGGTCACATGGATTACTTTTATGATGTCTTTATTACATTTTTCTGGGGCTTGAAAGTTCTGTAGCTGTCAATGCAGGGACAGAAATTTCTCAGATTTCATCAAAAAGATCTTCATTTGTGTTCTGAAGATGACTGAAAGTCTTACGGACTTAATAATTAATGACAGAATTTTCATTGGTTAAACTAACTCTTAAAGGCACAATGTCAGAATTACAGTGATCACGAGATTCCGACTTATAAAAAGTGCTCACGTCCTCATAGAACGCGTAATTACAACTTGAAAACTGAACTTTCTGAGAGCTCTGACTCATATTCGTATGACCACAATAAGGAAATGAGTCAAAATGGCAATGGCTTCAGAACGATCTGAATTATACATGCCTGTCACTTTTGGTCAATTTTATTCATGTTAATGTCGTTAACACAGAGTTGAAAAGCTAGCTAATGTTTTGCTAATTTGCTAAAGTTTATTAATAATGAATTTGCATAATGACTGTTATTTGTTGTATAATGGTTTTGTCTAATGATTATTCAAATTACATTCATTTTGGCATTTAATAGTGTTGCCATGGAAACGCACAGTTCAGAGTCTGAGGACGTGAACAGCTCTGAGTAGATTGTCCTGGTTGTCATTATTGTTTATGGTAATCAATTACGACATAGTGTGACCGCAGCATTCATTTCCTGTTCCGTTGTTATTACTTCACAATATGACCCCTTGTCATCTTAGAATCTTGTCAGGGGCAGTTATTGTTGGTCCAGTGATCTGAAGTATAGGCTACCAACACACTATTACAAACACTGCTTGTTGAGGACTGCCTGCTCTCAGTTTGTTTACTGAAGGTTCTGGATGCATATTCACCCTCAGAGTGTGTTGGAGTTTGTGAATGTGTGTAAGAATCTTAGCAGTGATGCTGCATTAAAAGGGCATGTTGGTTTCAATTCACTGTTATGAAGCTGGTGGACTCATGCCTTGAGAGATTGTTAGCATGATGCTAACAACTGTAGTGCCCCCTAATGGTGCTTAAAATGCTTATATTTGGGCTGTTTAGGAGATAAATTAATGCTGTTTGTATTGTTTTTTCAACTGTAGCATCCCTGAATGATGATAAAAGTGCTCTTTTTGGGCTGTTTAGAAGAGAATTTAACTGTGAATGGCTTAGAGTGAGGCTGTTAGCATGATGCTAACAACTGTAGCAACCATGAATTATGCTAAAACAGGGCTTTTTTGGACTGTTTTGGAGAGAAATTAGCAGTGAATGGCTTACTGTGGTGGTGTGGATTGAAATATTTGTGAAGGAAGGAGAAAAAGATGAAATAGTATCCATTTGAGCAATAAAGTGTGATTCTGTAGTTTTGAGTAACTGCAATGCTGCAATGTGGTTCCCACTGGACTGCATCTTTCATTGCCTGTATCTGCACTCTCACCCTCATTTTTTTACCTTTTCTGTTTCTCACTCATTGTTTCTCTTTTTTCTTCCACGTCTCATACATCATGACCTAATAACTTAGTGGAGATGCAAACACTGAGCCTGCTCCCATCATGCCCCCTGAACCTCCGAACACTGCCGTGTTTGACCTTAAACAGCCCTTGACCTCCTCTGAGCGCAGGGTGCTAGAGGAGAAACTGGATAAGAAAGCTAAAGATGAGAGGGAGGATGATGAAGAGGATGAAGAAGAAGAGGAGAGTCAACCGGATATAGAAAAGGATGACATGCTAGCTCGTAGAACAGGAGCATTTCTGAAGCCAGCAAGCGGGACGTCATATAACAGATTCCTCCCGCAGCCGAGTTCCAAGAGAGAAGGCACATCAGGGGCTTCCATAGCCCAGAAAGGAAGTATCGTGATGGGGATGAGTGGAGACAGAGACTTCCAGTACCTGGAAAGAAACATAAAGATAAAGAGAACTAAGATTGGACAGAGGTGGGACAAGCAAAACTAGTAATCTCAGACTTATGTTCATTATGCATTAGTCTAGCATGCTAACATGCTGTGGTGGAAAAGATTTATTCCCAGTCTTTTGAGTGCACTATTTATGGCTAAGGCAAACATGACTTTCAGCTTTCTTCATACTTGGTTAAGAATTTACTGCACTGTTTGCTCTGTTAAAATTCTGGCTATACGATAAGCCTAAATGATTTCCAATAAATGGCTAATATTAACATTATGTACAATAAAACACTAGAAACTAAAATCAATTCTACAAATTAATTTAAAATATAAGAACACTATTATGTACAGTATGGGAAATTTATATTTTTGGGATTTGCTAAAAATTACACTTTGAAGTGTGAATACTAAATATAAAAATAAAAATAGGGGAAATGAATTAAATAAATAAAATTACCAGCACATTAAATATCCAATATTGATCAATACGGATGGGTAAATAAAAAAAATAGAATGTTGGCCAATTACTGATATGGTATCGATATCGTGCATCACTAGATTCCATAATAAAATAGGCAAAAACTTAACCTATTTGCTTTAAGTTGTGCTTTGTGAGTATTTACACTTTTGCAATATGAAACTAAGTTTAATTGTGTGAGTTAGTTATCAGCATATGCTATTTTAACAGAAATGAACCAGTCGATCAAGTACCAAAGACACCTGTTCCAGTTGCCGCAGTGACCCAAAAGAGCCCTGACATTGTGCGCTCATCTGGAACTAATGTCGATTGCTCTGGCGGTTATGATGATGATGATGATGATGATGATGATGATGAATGTGGGGATGATGGTCATCAGCCAGATTTTGAGAAGGATGACATGTTAGCGAGAAGAACTGGATCTTATCAAAAGCCCAATGCAGGGGCAGGACAGGCTTTTAATGTATTTCTGCCTAAACCTGGTTCTGTCAAACACAAAACCATCCCTGTCAGTGGATCGCAATCATTCCTCAAGACTAGAGAGCAAGAGACAGCCCCGTCTCTGGACAGGTTAGGACCGCCTGGGAATGAAGTGTTTGTCTATGAGTGCAAGGAATGTTGCATTTGCGGTGCCCGTGCAAAAGAAAAATGGTTACATTTCCATTCAATTATTAACAGATTTTTTAGATGTGGGTTTGAGCTTGCTGTGTTGATTTTCAGAGTACAGAAAAGAGATGTCTTGTCCAACAATGATTTTTGGTGGCTATTATCTGTTTACTAATATCTGTGACTGTTTTGGCGTTCATTTGGAAAACTATCGTTCTTGTCTCTAGGCGTTGTTTGATTTATAGCTCTGATTTAAATTTTATTTAATTTTTACTGTTTTATTCTGTTCATTTATAGAGATTGTTTCAAAGAAAGTGATTTTAAAAAATGCAAAAAAATATGGAAATTATAATTGTATATTCTTTCTTTCATTTCGGGGTTTTCCTCAGATTATATATATGAAGAGTTCAGATGCAAAAGCCTCTAAATGCCATATGAAATTTTCTTCTTGAATGATGATTTTTATCAAACTTGTATATTTAAGTTCAGTGATTTCACTTAAATAACAATTAATAGGTAATCATCATTGCAATTTAAGTGAAATCACTGAACTTAAATATACAAGCTTGATAAAAATGATCATAGAAGAAAATTTCAAATGGCACTTAGAGGCTTTTGCATCTGAACTCTTCATATATATATATATATATATATATATATATAATGTTCATTTGTCATAAGTATCAATAGGTCTTTTGGCTTTTGAATTTCTGTTCAATATTTTTGCACTTGTTTTCTCAGTTTTGTCTGGCTGGTCTGATTTGTAGTCAGAGAACAGAGAGCCTCAGCATCCCTTTCACTGCCATGCTTTGCTTTAGTAACCATGGCAACTTTCTCAGCTTCACCCTTAGCCCAAGAGATGCTGAGGACATGCATAAGAAGTGTCATCAGATGATGGACAGGCAGGAGGCGGGATCTGTAGGTGTGGTGGGACATGAAAGTCTTATTAAAGATGAGACTATTACCAAAAGCCCCTCTCCTTTACCCGACCAACCCTCACGCCAGTCCCTTTGGCAGGAAGATGATGATCTCCCCCCAATGTGAGAAAGCATTTTCAGGACCAATTTATTACTTTTGAAAAGAGCTCTTACTGAAATGTATTTTTGCATGGAAAGAGTGTCTCATGCCTGTATCTCTGTAGTTTATCATTGTTTTTCTTTACTTCACTCACTGGTGCAATGGTTTCCTTTAAAGGTGCTATAAAGGATTTTATTATAGGAATATTTTAATTAAACACAGACACTCTCATTTAAAGAGTTTAGCTTTGCTTACAAGTCATTAGAGTGTGGCATTTTGGATAGAGCAGGTGATCTAATGCAGTTATGGCTAACATCACTTATGGCACCTTTAAAGTCAACATAAATGCTGCTCAGAAGAACCTGATAGATACTGTGATGCTGTGTGAATATTATGCTAGCTATGTTTTATTTTTTAATAAAGTTGACTATGTGTAATCCTGCACAATAAAATCAGGAAAGTACACTAAGAAATTAAATAGGTTGCATTTTTATTTCATATTGATTCATTAAATGATGATTAACACATGAAAAAAAATCAGTGGAGTAATTTTCCAGCATAAAGTGTCAAAACCTTTTTAAATTACATCTAAAATGAAGCTTTTAAAAATGAAAATAAAAACAATTATATTGCGCAGTAGCTAATATTTATGTAATGTGTGTGTGTGTGTATATATATATATATACACACAACCTCATTAAAATGCAATAAAATCAAGAATATGTGATTTTTTTTTTATTTTATTTCTCTTGAAACTTTATTTATTTGACAAAAGTGCAAAGAAAAGATTTCTCATGTTTTCACCGACTAACTTTATTTAAACCTTTTATTTTTTATTTTTTATTTTTAACATTTATTTAAATTTACTCCAAAAAAGTTGGGACAGAGGCAAAGTAAAAGGATTGTAGAATATCCAACTGTATTAAAACAGTTAACTATTAGGTGAATTAGATGAGGGTATTGTGTTTGGTAATAAAATACCATCCACCAAATTTTCAGTCTTTGCAAGCAAAGATGGATCATGCCAAATTTCACACAATTCAAAAGATTCTGGGAATCCAGAAAAATCTCAGGCTGTGCATTTTACAAAATGTCCCAGCTTTTCTGGAAATAGGTATTTCCAATGTATATATAATATGTGTGTGTGTGTAATTGTAATATAATGAGGCAAGTTTTTATTTTGATGGGTATAATCAGTATTTTATTTATAAATGTATGTGCTTGGTGTTCTATGTTCAGCTGTTTTGTTTTGTTTTCAACTTTATTTATTTACTTTTTTTATTCATTAATGTTCTAGATTCAGAGCTACTAGTGTTTCTGATGAAACAGAGTAAGTTTCTTTTATTTCCTCTCTATCTTTCCGTCTTTCATTCCTTTTCTTTCTTGCCGTTGCTGCAGAACTGAGCAGTTGCATGTACTATAAACACATGTTAAAACAGTGTCTCTATTCAGCCATTTTATAAACTGACTTACTCTCTCTTACTCTTTATGCATGCATATTCAAAAGCTGTGTAGTCAAGCCTGCCCCTACACATGCATGTAATGGCATATGTTTGAATCTTTCTCATGGTTTGCTGTTGTGGATACTTATTGTCCTTGGAAGTGGATACACATGCATAAACACTTTTATAACCTCAATCCACTACAGCATACCCAGTTGCATTGATAATATTGGTTTTGAGCAACACGATTGTTTCTTGAACAATAAAAAAAAAAATGTAACTGTCATATATGTAGATCTACCTTTCCCGTAGTTGTTCTGTTTGTATTGTACATGATCCTGATAACCATATGTTGTTCTTCTACTCACATTTCTTCTACATCATTCCCAGTTAACATCTTACTGACACTTCATATCTTTTATCAAGAATTTCCTGTCTTTGTGCCTTCAGGTCTCAGAAGAAGAGATAATGTTATTTTGGATATGACTTTAATTTCATTTTTCTTCATCTAAAAGCATTACAGCACTTCTAAATATGCCTTTGTGTTTGTTTGTTATTCAAAGGAGTGTGAGTTTGATTGACATGCGTGATGAAGAGGATGAGCTTGCCTACCTTCGGGCGCACAGCCAATCACGGCATGAGCGCCTACACAATCAGTACAACAAACTCAAAGAGGAGGAGGACCAGTGGCAGGACGTGAGTCATAGAGTACAAACCCACACACAAACACACATTTAACAAGCTCACAAGTGTATACATGTACGTTTTCTGGCTTCTGTGTGTAGGATTTGGCTCGCTGGAAGAGTCGGAGACGAAGTGCTTCTCAAGATCTGATCAAAAAGGAAGAGGAGAGGAAGATGATGGAGAAACTAATGACAACGGATGGAGGATCCGCCTACCGCAGAAAGAGCATCAAAACATACAAAGAAATAGTAGAAGAGAAGTGAGACAATTTGAAATATTTACTCCCTGTAGATTTAGATTGATGCACATTTTGGCATTGAAGTACAGTGACAATGCAATGCATTGACTTTTTTTTTTTTTGTCAAGTCAAAAAAATACAATCAAGTTATTCTTGAATAGATTCCACCTCCTAGAAAGAGCTTGATTTTAATCTTTGTATTTAGATGTCAGAGATGTCAAAAAAAAGAAATTAATGAAAAGTATACCACCATTCAAAGGTTTGGTATCAGTAAGATAAGAATACATATAAATAAATATTTTTATTCAAAAAGGGACCGTAAAGACTTTTACATTGTAACAAAAATGATATTTCAAATAAATGCTGTACTTTTGAACTTTATAATATATTAATCAAAGAATTCTGAAAAGATGTATCACAGTTTCCACAAAAATATTAATAAACAAAAATGTTTTAAATATTGATAATTATAAGAGAAGCACCCAAATTAGCATATTATAACTATTTATGAAGGATCATGTGACACTGAAGACTGGAGTGAAATTGATGCTATTCAGCTTTACCATCACATGAATGAATTACATTTTAAAGGAGTCATGAACTGGCTTTTTAATTTTTTTTATATTGTCATCTGAGGTCAACTTATGAGATTCGCTTGGTTTTTACATTCAAAAACATCAAAATGAATAAGTAATAGGTAATTTTCTACCCTAGTTTTGAGCCTGGCTTAAAAACGCTCGGTTTTTATGGGCGTCTCGCATTGAAGACTTCTGAACGCCCACTGCTGTGAGTGGATAACAGTTTTGCATGTTATAATGAGTTTCAACTCACTCGCTTATGCAGCGACTGTCTTCTTCCACAACCAGGCACTGCACAATATTTTGTAAACGGCATGTTTATTGCTCGGTAGCTGGATCCTGTTTGTCATCACGAGGTAGGCATCTATGATATTTAGCTATGCGTGTAATGCACGAATCGGTGGGCGGGACTAAGGGCCGTGTTGAAGTAGGCGTTGATCTTCTCCTGCGGGGGTGGGGTTTTATCCTCTTTGACGTCATAGTTCCCCCCCTTTGAAAAACGAGTCGTTTGCTGAGGCTAGTGTCAATAAAAGCTTTTATTGGACTAACAAGGACATTTTCCGTTCTGAAACTTACAGGATATTCTTATAATATGATGACCTCTTAGATGTCAAAAACTCGAGGAAAATTTGATTTCTCAGTTCATCACCCCTTTAGAATATATTAAAATAGATTATATTTTGTTATTGGAAAATTTGTTATTACTTTTTACTTTTAGTACATGTGTCTTAAAGTAAGATTTTTAGTTTTCTTTGTCGGACACACTCTAATATGTAATTGACATTCTATTGATCTCACTCTCTTTCTCTTTCAGAGAGCGTAGGGAGCAGGAACTACATGAACAATATTGTAAAGCCTCCACTCCAGAAGAGAAAGCAGCTGTGCTTCAACGTTATGCTCTCCGTTTCACCATCAGCGATGCCATATTGGAGAGACTTCAGCTCCCCAAACTGCCTTCTGCTGCCTCACCTCTCCATCAGCCTGAGAAGAAGCCAACATGCACCGCCCTCGAGGAAGCAAAGGTTCCAGAGCCTGCACAAACTACCCAAACACACCCTGTAGACCAGAAGACTGCACAAAAACAGGCACCAGCGCTGCCCAAAACCACTGAACCATCACCTGGCAAGTCCATCAAAGCTCCAGAAGTCCTTTCAGCACCCACACGAGTTCCTCCTGCTCCATCAAAGCCTGTACCCCTCATCACCCCAAAACCCTACAGCCAGCCAAAATTCAGCCAAGGCCTCCGCAAATCAATAAAGGCAAGGATGTTTTATCCTGGACATTAAGCTCAATAACCAATTCATTTAAAAATTAACTAGGTAGGACAATATTGGGATTTTCGAACTTTTGGATACACCCAAATATGATAATTTCTGATAAAAATAAAATAAAAAGACCGCTATAGACCCATTTAAACAATATGAGAAAATGTGTATTATATATATATATAATAGTTGGCTTTTAATGAATATACTGTATCATCTTTAAAAATATCATTAGTACACGTGAAGCAAAAGCAGAATTATTAAAAAATAAATTAATTAGAAATATAAAATACTTTCTTCCCCTCAACTTTTATGTGGTCCCCAGTTTGAAAAATTGAGACAATGTTTTCTTGGGATAGTTCACCTAAAAAATTCAATTCTGTCATTACTCGCCCTCTTGTTTTTCAAAACCTGAATGGCTTTCTTTCTTCCGTGAAACACAACAGAAGTTATCTATCAGAATGTCCGTGTTGCTTACTTCCATATCATGAAAGTGAATAGAACCAGTTGAGGTTACCATTGCTTCCTGTGTATGAAAAATACCAACCTAGATATTTTTCTAGACTCATTTTGTGTTCCATACAAGAATGATATGAAGGTTAGTAAATAATCTCTAATTTTTGGGTGCATATTTAGCTTGAATAAATGTGTGTTCTTTGTTTTTAATACAGAGTGATGGGCTGATACGTGTGAATGGTGAGAGCACTCAGCAGGAGAGCAGAGAGAGGGAGGATAGAAATATGCATCGTCCTATCAACTTCTCTCCCTCACCTCCAAAGCCAGCCACTCAAAGTCTACAAAATGAGGAGCTCATTGTGTTAGAAGCCTCAGACCACCAGCAAAACTTACAGACTTCCATTCCTGAACAAGAGAAAGAAGTTGTAAAGATGGAAAAGGAATGTTCTCTTATTTCTCAAGCAGAGAATATCAAAGAAGACCAGTCAACCGCACTATCGTTGTCAGAACCAGCAGGTTAAAATATTATCCAAAGTTTTATATTGTGTGTATATATATATATATATATATATATATATGTGTGTGTGTGTGTGTGTGTGTGTGAGAAATAAACTTCATCTCCGGTCCAAAAATTCTTTAAAGAGATATATCACCGCAAATTCTGTCATCATTTACTCACCCATTCTTCTGTTTTGAGACATGACTTTTTTTGTTCATACAATGGGCTCCAATGTTTTTTGGATCCCAATGTTCTTCGAAATATCTTTTATTAACCACAGAATAAAAAAAAATGCATACACTTTCAGAGCAACAAAAGGGTGAGTAAATAATAACAGAATTTAGGTGGGACTATCTCTTTAAGTAGTTCCAACTTTTATAAATTTCTGATGTCAGCTACATTAATACATTGATGCTTGGCAATGCCAATTGTGTTTAGCAACTGTGTGTTTACATGCAAACTTCTAATCAAGCACATGTAAGTTATAATATAAAGTAATATGATGTGTGACCCCTTTAAAGGAAAGGTAGCCTATACTGAATTATTTTTATATTAACTTATATTTTCCTATTCTATCAGGAAAGCAGCCAGTGCCAGACACAATGATGAAGCTCAGCTGTGTTGTCACAACGACCATAGTGACAGAACTCACTCAGACACAACAAATCCCACCAAATGACACGTCCTGCACTGAACAGGTGGGCCTTGATTTCGCTCTTTTCACTTTTTAATAAAAGTTCAATGGTTTTAGAAAAACATCCACTGATTCCTAAATATAAAGCCTAAAGTTGGCGGAAAGTAAATGATTGGTTTGGGACTAGACCAGTTCAGAGGACTTCTGTTTGGTGCATCTTTAAACTTTGATACTTCTGATTGGTCAGTCGTTGAATTCACGACTTCTAAACTGTTTAATTTCCAATATAGCTGCACTAGTGTCTTCACAAGTGATAAAATAATTCCTAATAAATAAACCAATATTTAAAATGACAAGTTGCCATGTAATAACCAGGATAACAGTCAGCTGGTCATTTTCACAGAATAGACACAAATTTAGTTTACCCTGTTTGGGTTTATTTTTTTGCATATCATACTTTGATGAATAGGGTGAATGTGCTACTTTATACTGATTGGAAACCTGTTTTTATTTCCATTGACTTTGTGAAAAACCTGAGAATCTTTAATGATTTCCTTTCATTCCCATCAGCTTGGTTCAGTCCACAGTTCATGTGATTTGAGCTCAACTGCCGAGACCAACAAGGCTGACCAGACTTCAAACTCACTATCACTGACAGGTAATACAAGTCCACTTGCTACGTCCTCAATCTCTCATAATGTGAACAAATGAATCCTTACTCCAACTTTCCCATTTTTTAGTCCACCATTTACCTCCACTGAATCTTTTTTTGGGTTACCTTTCTTTCTGGTTTATCCTTTTCGATCTTTTTCTCTTGCTTTTTGTCTCTTTCATTGACTATCCATCTTTTCTGGCTGGTATCATTTGATGTGCGTGTGGGTCTGTTAGAGTCCTCACATACCTCTAGTAGCTCTAGGTTACGCACAGAGTTCTTCGCTCCAACAGGTAAAACTGATAGATGAGCTAATGGCACAGGGCTTTCATTCTCCATGAACAGCAGATAATCCATCTGCATCATCTCTCGTTTGTCAACCTCCTTTGACTTCTTCTCCTGTGGAGGTGCATTGTAGAGTAAACGCTTGTCTGATGAGGGCATTATGAGGCAATACTTTTTACACTGTATTTAAATGTAGAGGAAAGTGGGGTAAACAGTGCCACTTTAACTTAATTTGTCCTATAGTTAACGACAAAGGAGACAGATGTGAAATATATATTACACACTACTGTTCAAAAGTTTGGGGTCAGTGACATAGACTCTAACATAGTGTCAGCCCAGATCCGGCCCACATCTTGTACACGTGGACTCAACATGTACCAGATGTGAGCCAAATCTGGGCCGACACTATGTTGCTGTCTGGGAAGTTTGGTTACACTTTATTTTAAGGTGACATAGTTACATAGTTAGTCAAATAAGTAAGTATTATTAATTAACTACATGTACTTATAGAGTTACAGTTAGGGTTTGGTTTAGGGTTAGTTACTTGTAATTATGCATAATTTACTGTTATTACTTATACATAACCTTAAAATAAAGTAATAACATTTTTTGTGGTAATAGATTATTAAATTTAATTCCGTAAGGACACATTAAATTGCTAAAAAAAACTGACAGTAAAGACTTTTTGTTCCAAAAAAATTAGATTTAACATAAATGCAGTTCTTTTGTAACCTTCTATTCATCAAAGAAACATGTACCGTAGTTTCCACTTTCCACACAAATGTTAAACAGCACTGTTTTCAACATTGAAATTAAAATAGTTTCTTGAGCTCCGAATCAGCATATGAAGACTGGAGAAATCATACTGACAGTTCAGCTTTGCCATCACAGGAATAAATGACATTTTAATATCAGTTATGTGTAATATTGTAAAAAATATTTCACACTATTACCGATTTACTGTGTTAAATGCAGGCTTGGTGTGTATAGGAGAGTTCTTCAAATAATATTAAAAAAATGTTACTGACCCTAAGCTTTTGATAATTATATTATATTATATTATATTATATTATTTATATTATATTATATTATATTATATTATATTATATTATATTATATTATATTATATTATATTATTTATATTATATTATATTATATTATATTATATTATATTATATATTATATTATATTATATTATATTATATTATATTATATTATATTATTAGAAGTAAAAGTTTGGCACTGAAAATGTACCAATATGTATGATAATGTATGTACAATATGTACATACGTAAAATGTATTTCACTTGCAGAATGAAGAACATTGTAGAGAAGTAGAACATTTCCTTTGACTTTGATTTACCAATATATAATATTTACTATTATAGTCACATGACAAAAGTCTTGCCATTTCTTTATGAGGTGTAAACTGAGGTGAGTTTACCCACTCTCCCATCTGTCCCCACTCTCTCCTCAACTAAAGACCTTTCCTTCTAAACATAGATGTGTGCATCATTTTGTCCTCATCAGGCATCTGTAGCATGTTAGCACATGGGCATATAATAGATTTATTTAATATGATCATTGTGCAGTCGTGCTCAGAAATTAATTACATAGAACTTAGGATGTTCTGTTTTATATTGCTTTTACTGTTGTCTGTCTTTTAAAGGGATACTCCACTTTTTTTGGAAATAGGCTCATTTTACAACTCCCCCAGAGTTAAACAGTCGAGTTTTCCGCGTTTTCGAATCCATTCAGCCGATTTTTTTTATATTTAGAAGAATATCAGTAACCAGACAGTTTCTGTTCTCATTTACTTCCATAGTATATATTTTTCCTACTATGGAAGTCAATGAGACCATAAACTGTCTGGTTACTGATATTTTTGTAAATATCAGAAAATTGGCTGAATGGATTCGAAAACGGTAAAACTCTGGTGGAGTTGTAAAATGAGCCTATTTCCAAAAAAAGTGGAGTATCCCTTTAACAACTCTCAGAGAATACCTACATCCTTTTTGTTTTGGCCCCATGTATACCTAGTATTCACATCCATCTCAGATGATACAATCACAATCTGTGATCAAAAGTGGTCAAATACATAGTGTGACTCGACCAAAATGCATTTGTAGAGTGAAGTAGCCACAAAATCTGATACCCTTAAATTAAAATCATAAGTGGTGGTGCATTCAAGGTTTATGTAAATAATAATAATGTAATAAGTATAAACAAGAATCTGTCTTGAAAGAGGACCATGAGATGGATGTGAGTATCGGGTATTAACAGAGCCATTATTCCTCAACACTTTCCGTCTTTGTTAGTGTCATTTTAATGTTTTATGCTCTGTGTATCTCTGCACCAGTTTAAACTCCTGTGGTGCTATCGCTTTCATTAGCGTAAGACGATATAATTGAGTATATGATGAGTTTCTAAAGCCTCTGTTTCCCTCTCCTTTCCTCCACAGAGGGGATTGACTACTCAACTGAATGTGTAAGTACTTCAGTCGTGCCAAACTCGCCAATTCTTCCAGAATTTCTACTTATTTCCTCTTCTTGCACCTCTTTTCAGTCTTTTTTCCTTGGTAGTCACTCATTGGATGTGCATTTTAGTCATTTTGTCTCAAGATGGCTTGAGGGAGCAGATTGTGTTTTATGTCTTTTGCCATTGCATTGCTTTTCACTGGTGTTTCAGCGTCAAGTGCTCATGCTTATAACTGTTGATACAGTGTAGGTACACCCTGTCTTCTTACATTGCTTTCCTTTCCCTTTCTTCCTTTCTTCTTCTGTATGTGTGTGTGCGTGAATCAGATTGAAACCCCAATGTTGAATCTTGCAAAAAGGGTTGATCACTGGACGTGGGATCCTAATGAGGAGCGTAGACGGCAGGAGAGATGGCAACAGGAGCAGGAACGCCTACTGCAGGTATACAATAGCCAGCTTGGGGTTTGTCTGAGAGAAGTGCACACCACAACAAAACTGTTATTGGTGTAGGTGTCCGTATTCTGGTCAGCATGAGATTTCCCTACCTGTCCTCTCTACCCTTCACCTTTTCTCCAATTTATCACACAGTTTGTTGACTTCCTCTACAACCAGACCCAAACTTGTATGACTTCTTTACTTCTGTGGAATACAAAAGGACAAATTTCGAAGATAAAAGAAAATTTGAGGAAGAAATTTAGAAGAAATCACTTCTGTGTTTACCGGTATTGTGGTTTTCATACAAAAAGTGACACGAAAGACATTTACATTATTACAAAAAAATATATTTCATATACTGCTCTTTTGAACTTTCTATTCATCAAAGAATCCTGAAAAAAAACTTTCAGTTTCCACAAAAATATTAAGCAGCACATTGGGTTTCAACTGAGATAATAAAAATTAAATAAAAATGGAGTAATATTTAACAAATTAACAATATTTCTGAAGGATCACGTAACACTGAATGATGTAGTAATGAATTCAGCTTTGCCATCACATGAATAAATTACCTTTTAATTATATGTAATGAATGTGTAATGAATATGTAATGAATTCACAGATGGGTTGCAAATAAAGTTGGATCTAAAAGAAGCAGTAAACATTTTTTAAACAACTCAACATAACGAGATAGAGAACAAAGGAAACTGATGGCAAAATACACAGAGGTAAATGAGGGAACAGTGAACGTAATCAGTAACTAAGGGAATGAACTGGCACTCACTAGGAAACTAGGTCAACCTACAATGTCAGGGCAAACAGGAACAGGGAAAACAGAACCAAAACAGAGAATACACATCACAAATATATGAAGAGTTCAGATGCAAAAGCCTCTAAATGCCATTTGAAATTTTCTTCTTTAATGATGATTTTTATCAAACTTGTATATTTAAGTTCAGTAATTTCACTTAAATGGCAATGATAATTACCTATTAAGTGTTATTGAAGTGAAATTACTGAACTTAAATATACAAGTTTGATAAAAATCATCATTAAAGAAGAAAATTTCAAATGGCATTTAGAGGCTTTTGCATCTGAACTCTTCATATATTAAACAGTTATTTTAAATAGTAATAATATTTTACAATATTACTGTTTTCACTGTATTTTTTATCTAATAAATGCAGCCTTTGAGACATTTTTCGAAAACATGAAAAAACAACCGTTTTCTTAGAGTTCCTGGTTACTATTTATTTTAAGGTGCTTTTGTTAGTTTAATTGGTTTTCAAAAATGTGCTTACTATATAATTAGGGTTAGTTTCTTGTAACTATGCCTAATTTAATTTACTGCATAATTACTAGCGTTTATAAATATTGCTATTCATTGTTATTGCCATAGATATGTATATAAAGGCTAGATGTGTTACGGCGGAGTTTCCATCATCATCACCGGCGGCCATCTTGTCACAGACAAGCTGATGTAAGATGAGTGGTCAGCACGAACACAAAAACTCTTATCTCGTTGAAATCTTGACAGATTTACAAACGGTTTGGTTTCTTACAAACGTTATTAACGTGGCGATAATTATCTGGATGATTACACTTTTTATTCATAAGTATGCAGTGTCATAACTACATCTCTGACGTTTATAACAAAACAAACCGTTTGAAAATCGGTAGAAAATTGAGCAAGTTATGGTCATTTATTTAGTACATGTACCATTAACACAATGTTACGAGTGAGCGAGCTGCCTGTGACAAGATGGCCGCCAGGTGCAGACGTCGACCTCCATTGCCCAGCAGCGTGGATGACATATCTAGCCTTTATATACATATCTATGGTTATTGCAAGGAAAAGAGCAACCAGCTCATTCTTCAAAATTTCTTCTTTTGTATTCCTTGGGAAAAAAAGAAAGTTGCACAAATGAATCTTTTGGTGTGAAATATTTCTTGAATCCCTCTTTTCTTTCTCTGTAGGAGAAATATCAGAGAGAGCAGGAGAAACTGAAGGAGGAGTGGGAGAGAGCGCAGAGAGAGGTGGAAGAAGAGGAGAGGAGACACCATGAAGAGGTGAGTCTTCAAATTGTTTTACATGGCAACTAATTAGTTCTTAATGACGACTAATTAGTTCTTAATCTATAATAGGAGAGGCGGATACTGGAGGAAACTGTGACCCCACTGACCCCTCGCACCTCAGTTTTACCACCCGGTATCATGACCGAGGCTCCGTATCTCACCCAGCCCTCAGTCTCACAGGACACTATTGTCCTCTCCTTGGCTGACTGGGAGAAGAAACAGGAAATGCTGGAGAAACAGGCACAGACGAACCAGAGTAACAGACTGACACACAGGTGGAATATATGCAAAATCCATATACCTTTTCCACCAAAAACGGTGCTGGTATCCAGCCAGGCGATCTGCGAATCTCTCTCAGAATGGCTTGCGTTTCCACTGAGCAAAGTGATAATGTGATTGACTATGTGACTATGGTAACCTGTCCGCAAAAAATATATATAAATCTAAAATTCAACGGAATTTAAATCAGTGTCATTGTGCCATATTGACGTACTCTGGCAACCTGGCATTGGAAAAGGTGTAATAAAAAATACAAATTCAAATGTTGATAATGTCAAATGGTTTTTCAATGTTCAATTTAACTTCTCTAGCCCTGATCAAGTAATCGAACCAGCTCAGCAGAATGGGCAGAGGATTGAACCTCAGGAGAGCCAAACAGCCACACCACAACTGCAGTTTTTACAAGGTAAGATACACACACTAACCTTGGGTCAATCTGGGTCAAATCATATCTTTTTTTTAAAATCTAGTTAAATGTGATTTTTGTTGGTTTTATTCACTTCTGAAGATAAAAGATGTTTCTAAAAAGTGGATGCTGCACATTGATGGTGAGATTAGTAATTATATTGCCACACCTGCGTATAATGTGCATAATTAACAAATATATGATTTAAAATAATTGTAATAATAAACAATATTATTGTTGTTTGATTATAAATTTGTATTTATTTTATTTTATTTATATTATTATATATGTTTCATACAATATACTTTTTTGAGTCATGTGTTTCAAGTGGTTTTCTTAGGGTTACTACATTTGACCTGAACAAAGCTTTCATTAAAAATTCCGGATATTGTTTTAAAATAAAAATAAATGACCTTGACACACATTCATAAAGATCTAAAAGGGATTGTCTATTGATTTCTTGTCACAGTTTCTTCCTGCATGTTGGTTACACCACATTGTTTTTACAAAAGGTTTTTAGAAATAGCCAAATATCAGATTTCAACATTTCAGAAATCTTTAAATAATAGAAATATTATTATGGCAGATGATTAAGACATTTAAAAAAGACATTCTTCCATTAAGTCCGGGCTATTTTTAATATATAAATCACAATGCATATTCAATTAAACCAGTTTCTGTGTTATTACAGATGGCTCTTGGAGCTGTAAGTCTAAAGGCGTGCAAGAGGATTTGAAGAAAACTGCCTCACTTGATCGCAAACAGAGTCCACCCCAGAGCCGGACCACAGGGATGAGGAGGTGTGTGTTTGAGGATGCATGCTGGCTTGCTTACACACATGTGTGCTAAAATGCTGCTTGGCTTTGCTATGAGTGAAGGATGTTTAAAAGATCAGATCAGTATGAGTTTTATTTTTTTAATTTTTTTTCTGGCACATAACACATTTCTGCATATGACTTGCTTTCTCAGTTCTGTGTCTCTATGCGTGCGTGTGTGTGTGTGTGTGTGTGTATGGCTGATGGCAGGACTGGGTCGTGTGAAAATATTTTAGGGACACACCCATCAAAATCACCCACACCATCACAAGACACGCCACCTCCATCACCCAGCAGGTACGAGCCTTCCCTCCAACACATACTCGATCGCATATGCGTGTGTGTATGTGGAGCGCTTCAGTAATAGGCTTCGAATGCATTTGTGCGCTTCAGGTCATGCTGTTGAACTGGCCTATAAGATTTAATGTATCTTCTTAAAATGCAAAAGTGTTAGTTTCAGTTTGATGTATGGTCATCATACGTATACGGCATATCAAATGCTTTCATTTCAGGAGTTTCATAATCATGCCAAGTGCTCATGTGCACACAATCCCATTCATTTAAATTGCATATTAGCATTGCATCTTGCTTTTGTTACCACTTTTAAGTATATATTTTAGGGGTCCAACAGTGTGGGACCATATCGTTGTTGTTTCTTAAAATCATTTAAATCTGCAAATAAAGTTTCAGGATTTTGAAAAAAAAACATTTGAATTGAAAACAATTTTATTAAAATAGACAATAATGGTCTTTTAAGACTTTTGGTCTGCACTGTGCATATAAAACTATTTATACTATTTATAATTACACGGATTTTATGGTAAAGCTGCATTCACAGCATAGTTTAATTACCGTAATTTCGAGATGTCAACACGCAATGTTTTATACTCTGAGCTGTCTGGGAATTATGTGTTTTTATGGAAAAATTATCAATGCCTAAATTAATATGCAGCAGTCACATGGTACAAGGAAGTGAACATTCTTTACAAGTTGAAATCTCATAATTACGGTGTGGTGTGATGCACCTTAACACTCTACAATAAGGTCCTGTTAGTTAACATTAGTTAATGCATTAACATTACCTAACAATGAGCAATACATTTGTTGCAGTATGTTAATGTTAGTTAATATAAATACAACTGTTTATTGTTAGTTCATGTTAGCTCATGTCCATTGAATAATATTAACAAGTACTTTTGTTTTGACTAATGTATTAGTAAATGTTACAATTAAATGTTGAAACTAAGATTAATAAGTTGTTAGTTCATGTTAACTAATGTTAACACATGAAACCTTATTGTAACGTGTTACCGATATTGTAACTGTTGTTATTTCAAGAAGTCAGTGTCGAAGTTTTATGGGTGTGGGTCTCAATCAGCTCTAGTCCAGCAAAATCCTTCCAGTGCACCTAAAAAGTCCCACAATGCACTGCAAACACTGCAGGGAGCATCGATGCTCACAATGGCTGCACCCAAAACGATGACAGTATGTCGTCATGCCCAAATTCACAGTACTCATACATAGTAGGCTTAATATCCCATGAGGCCACTGGAGAGGATTTATGAATGGCAGAGAAGTGACGCAATTGGCGCTGGAAAGTCATGTGATAATGATAACATGGTGAACGTAGTATCCTGATTACATTCATACTACACAGTACACATTCATACTATAAAGAACTTTTTTTTTTATCGTTCGTGAAGTACAGTGCTTAGCATAAGTGAAAACACCCATGCTAAAGTTGACTAAAAAGAGGAATTAAAAAATCATCTTTTGGAAATTGGTATTAATGCCTTAATTAAAAAAAAAAAATGAGGAAAACTCCAACCTTTAGGAACACCAAATTTTTTTGTGAATGAATAATGTTTTGTAAATAAATAAGTGTTCTTCCTTAAAATACAGGGTGCACAAGTCAGGATACCCCTATGTTAAATTCCCATAGAGACAGGCTGATTTTTTTTATTTTTAAAGGACAGTTATTTCATGGATCCAGGATGAATCCTATGAATCCTGATAAAGTTCCCTTGGTCTTTGGAATTAAAATAGACCCACATCATCACATGCCCTTCACCATACCTAGAGATTGGCATTGTTTTATTTCAGTTAACCTAATAGCTGTATTGATTTGCATTGAGAGATGACCTTATGGAAAGTACACCATGTCGGTCTTTAGGTATGGTGAAGGGTATGTGATGATGTGGGGCTATTTTAATTCCAAAGGCCAAGGGAACTTTATATTATTTTTGGGTTATTATTAATTATTATATTAATATTCTAAGGAAGAACATTTATTTAAAATACATCATTCATTCACAAAGAAAATTGGTGCCCTTAAAGGTTTGAGTTTTCCTCATTTTTTAAATTAAGGCATTATGACCATTTTCCAAAAGATGATTTTTTTTATTCCTCTTTTTAATCAACTTCTGCATGGGTGTGTTCACTTATGCTAAGCACTGTAATTACTTATTCAAAAAAAGTACCAACTCAAAAGAGTATGCAATTTCAGACGCAGACTCTCACACCATAAGGACGCTAGGGAGCTGATTGAGACCCACCCAATAATATATGTCTTTGTGTGGCGCCCTCTGCAGGTCAGTAAGTGGAAAGAAACTTTGCTCCAGCTGTGCACATCCGTTGGGTAAAGGAGCAGCTATGATCATTGAAACCTTGGGGTTGTACTTCCATATTCAGTGCTTTAAGGTAATTCTCATTTGTGTTAGTCTCTGTTTTACGTGAGTAACGTCTACGTCTTCTTATATGAATATATGATGTGTTCTAGTGTGGCGTGTGTAAAGGGTTACTTGGCGACACAAGTGCTGGGACTGATGTCCGAATTCGAAATGGACTTCTTAATTGTCAAGAATGCTACATAAAATCAAGGGGTGAGTCAATGTGTATGATCTTAAATGTGGTAAGATAATCTGTGGTCAAAAACATGTTCTAAATAACATTTAGCTTTTAATTAATTTTAATAATTTTAGAAAATAATCTCAATATATTTGTCAATATATTTAAACCACATAAGGGTTTTTTATTTTCTGACAAACCAAAATTCAAACGATGTACAGTGTTTAATAGCATTCTGTAATTAATTTTTTTAACAGAATAAATTAACATTTTATTATCCTAAATAATAAAAAAATAAAAGAAGTAAAATTACATTTTTATAATATAATTACATGTGTAGTTTGTCTTCATCACTTCATCTTTTTAGATTAGTCATAGTTTTTTTTAATGTAAAAATATTTTTATGATTTATTTTTTTTCTTCTATGATATTTTAAGGTCCGCTGGGTCTGGGACAAGGGTAAAATCGTACAATACAAATTGTTAAGACTCAAGACACTTTTTAGGCCAGTTTTAATGCACTCCTTCCTTGCAGCTGCTGGCCAGCCGACAACATTGTGAGGCCTCTGCACTTCTGACAAGGAAATGGAACCGGAATCAGGTTAAACCAAGACAGGACCAGACCCAAGAAGAACGGATTTTATGTTTCTACAACATTTCCAACTATTTTCCTTACAGCACAAACAAGCACATATACATCAACTTCAGAACTGGAATCATGAACGCATGATGGATTTTCCTCTGGACTTTGTGCTCACTGAAATATGACATGATAAAGAGTTTTAAAAATATATTACAGCGAGTCTGTTAATAACTGTTAGTTTTACACTTTAGAATGAGCACTGGTGGAACTTTACCTCACAGTGGCCATGTTACACACAGTTCAATAGCAATGAGGCTTTCTTGTTTAAATGCATCAGTAACAAACCTCAGTACTTAATGGGGCGAGAGAGATCATTCCAAATGTCTGTGCCGTTAACCCAAATACAACACCATTTCAGGAAAACACTGGGACATTTTATCTTTAACCTTTACGCAACTGACAAAAGTGTAAAGAAAAGATTTCCAATGTTTTCACTTGACCAGTATTTTGTAAATATAAACACATTTTGATTTTAATGGCTGCAACAAAAAGTCAGAGGAATGTTTTCCACTGTCACATCACCTTTCCTTTTAATCACACTTTTAAATAGTTTAGGAATTAAGGATACTAATTGTTGCAAAGTGATTTTTTTTTTGCCCAATCTTACTTGATATTGTCCAGCTGCTCAGTGGTCGTGGTTTCCTAGTGTCAGAGGTTTCCTCCCTTGCCCAACAAGGACTGAGATTTCTGTGGATTCCCTTAATCTTTTAACAATATTATGTATGGTAAATGGTCAAAGACCTGAATCTCTCCTGCAATCTTGCATTGAGAAATTTTGTCATGAAATTTGGCACAAAGTGGTGAGCCATGACTGAGCCTTGTACTATTGGATTGTACTATTATTCCCAATCAGGAGACACTCATCTAGTACCAGTCCAGTCCACTTGCTTATTATGGACTGTTTCAAAACAGTTTAACATTTATTTAACTTTTTTTGGAGTGTGTTGAAGCCATCAACTTCAAAAATGGGTTTATATTTAGAAAATACAATTAAAGCAGCACTATGCAGGTTTTTTTTTTTTACCTTAACTGAATAGTTTCGGATTTATCGGAATGGTTTTTCTAATGACTATTTTCGTGTTGAATGTTGGGCGTCTCCCCCCACCCCCTGTTGCCTGTGAGCGGAAAAAACACACTTGCAAATTTGAGGCCGCAGCATCAGGAAGTGTTGCGTGATATCAGGTCTCGCGATGTAATTAATTGCTTTACAGCAAGAAAGATGTACTAAAATAAACATCAAACAGAAATGACCCGGCGCCGTATACATGTGGTGTTCAAGGCGCACACAATACACTGCTGACTGCCGACAGTTCAACAGGGCGCAACTCTTAAAGGGGCCACACCTTATTTCCACTCGTTATGCTACGTTCACACTGGACGCGAATAGCGCGTCAGGTGCGAATGATTTCAATGTTAAGTCAATGCAAAGATGCGTTACGCACGTAAAAAATTCGTGCGGCGCGAATGAGGCGTGGAGCGTGGTGCGGAAGACGCGAATACGCCTTATTTGCGCGTCAAGTTCACGCGAATTGAGCGTCTGGCGCGTTAAGCGCGAATGATTTAGTTAGTGCATTTGTGCATTCATGCGTTTGACGCCGCTTTAACCAATCAGGAGCCTAGCTGCTTGCTCACGTGGTGAAGTGTCTGGATGCTTCAATAAATTATTTTGTAATATGTATGGTGGGATTATGCACAACAAAGTAAATATTTTATCACTTAAAACATTATTTCTATATACGAGACATGTTCATTTTGTATTGAATGTTATTTATTCCATATCTAGATTATATGAAATAGTATTATGATGTAAAGACAATCAACATATGTGCATAAGTTCGTGTCTGGACGTGAGAGAGAAAAAAATCACAGGAGAGGTTAATAACTTTTGGAAGCTGGCTCTATTTATCATCAAAACAAAAATAAATGACAGCTAGATTAGGTGGATGAGGGCGAGGGTGATCCTCGCTCCGATGCGGGACAACAGGTCATCAAACTGGACGCGAGACAGGCGGAAGTACCGCTGACAGCGGCCGTCATCCACGCGCAGCTCCTGGAGCGTGCAAATGGTGAAACTAGCCAAACGGTTCGCCTCCGAAGGGTCCGGTGGACACAAATATACAGCGACGATGATCCCCATGCCGCTATTCTGCTCTCCAGAGTAAATACAGAGCGGTAACTCTCTTGATGAATGCTCGGTCGACATAAAAACAATGGCCGCCAACGGATTTCAATTCTGACGCGCGTCACGCGCATAGATTTCGCTTCAAACTATTGTTTTTATGCGCGTCAGTTTTACTCTTGACACGCGAATTAACACAAAATGGTCAAGCGTCAAACTAGACTCGTCAGGCGCGAATTTGACACGCTTTTCGCGTCCAGTGTGAACGTAGCATTACAGCTTCCATCCTACTGAACAGGTACCAGTATACGGGGGAAGGAGATCAGGCCGTGAGCGCAGAGACATCTCTGCATGAGTGCTATTTATGACAGTACAAGTACTCCACAGTGACTCTAGGGGTCACAGTTTGACAAAAGCGGAAATCCTGCATAGTGTGGCTTTAATTGGTCAGTGAAAACATTGGACATCTTTTCACATCTCTTAAAAGAGTCTTAAAGAGTATTAACAAATCACAGATTCTTGATTTTATTGAATTTTTCAAAATGTCTCAACTCTCCTGGAAATGAGGTTGTACTTACTTAGTGTACAATAATGTCATGGAATTAAAAACATGTTGTTCTTTTAGTATTACTCAAATACACCGTAACATGGGCACTGTAATGTAGTGTGACTGAGTTCATATCTATTGTTAGGTAGCACAATCGTCCAGTTTTCATCAAAGAAGATTTTGCATCTGTTATTTTATTAATAAAAAATAATCTCAGTTTTTGTAATGGTCTTGCAGGTCTCTCACATTATTAATAAATGTTAGGCAACTGTTGTTGACGAACGCATGATGTGCGACTCTTAGGCCTAGCTGATTTGTCCTGATGCCTTAACTGACAGCGTGAAATGAATACTGATAAAATTGTTTATTTTTTGGTTTGAAAAAAACCTTCTTCATGAACTGGAGCAGATTTGATTTAAATGTTCCTTCCTCCATTTTGCATTGCCTGTTTTATCCTGTTTGATAAGTGAGGGGTTTGATACTTTATTTGTGCAGTATTGTTTAACAACCCATGTAGACAGCATGTTGCTAGCAGGTAGATCTTACATTTCCATTTGATTATTTTTCCAACTTTATGTTATTAATATTTACGTTTTGCTCTGCATTCGAATGGTAAGACAATTGCATGATCCCAGTAACTTTCCTTGGTGGCGCTTTACATTACAATGCCAATGTTACACATACATTACATGCTACTAAATGAATTACTGAAGTAATAATATTAACAGTGTACAAAGCAGCTCTATAATCAAACATTTGATGTACTGAAGCACTGTAATGTAAAGTGTAACCCTTTTTTAGCTTTTAAAAATATTCCGTTAAAATCGGTTTTGTGTTCTGTTGCCTTTCTCTCTTCTGCAATGTTGTGCCTTAGAAATGCAATCCAGATAATGTCTAGTGTCGGCCACCCTTGCATCCAAAGCTTCAAGTTACCAATGTGTATTGGTGAGCGTATTATGCATATGCACTGAGCACTCTGCTTTTACCCTTGTACTTTATTCAAACACTATGAATGTGCGAGCAAGAGATTAAAAAATGAAAAGCAAACCCTTTGTAGGCTTTTCATGTCCATGTAGAGATGTAAAATTGTTAAATATCCATATTTGTATTCATCTAAATCAGCTGGAAATGATTTCATATTCTGTTGAATGCCACCAAAATATCCAAATATTTCAGCAAAAATAGCATATAATTCCTGCTTTTATAACTTCTTCTTTTGCTTTCTGTTAATATTTGAAATTTGATTAAAACACATCATCATTTAGATACAGGGGGGTTTGACTTGCTTGTTTATCATTTGTTTTATTTTGTGACATTGTAAGAAAACGAACTAAAGTAAGGCAATAATTACTGGAACGATTAGCCAAGGATGAGTGAGATGTGTGTGACAAATAACTTCATATTCTATATTTATTATACCCTTTTAAAAATGTGTGATATAAGACAACCTACAAGACGCTGAAATGCAATGGCTTTTATAGCAAGTGTATGTTTTTAAATAAACTACAATAAACTATTTTAAATGCACCTCCACCTTGTGTTTGTGACTGGAAGTAGAAGACTGAATAATGATGAGGTGACGATTTATTTTGTAACAGCATTCTATAATATGAATATCATTTTAAGGGGGAGAATTAGCAGTTTTGTCACACACTATTAGTTGTTATGAATCACTAGAGCAAGCTCTCTCTCTTTTACAAACAGCGGTAAACATTAACAGTATGTGGAATGATTCTCGTAACCAACTGCATGAATTCAACACAATAAAATAAGATACATATAGCATGCATGTCTTATGTGTAGGCATACCAACTTTTTTTTAGCATTGTTGGTCATCAAAGAAGATCTTAACCGATAAATAACATAAATAAGGTTAGAAAATGGCACTAGCTGAGATATATACAGTGATGTTTGAAAAAGCACATCATGTGTTTTACTGCTCAACACATGCACGCAGTAGTAGCACAGTGAGTTAGGTGACCGCTTGACCTCTGTGATTCAAGAGAAGTTATGCCTAACAAGGGCAGTTCATCTGGAGCTTGGCTTTCTCTGAGACCGCTGCTGTCCTGTTTTTGGTCTTCGGTTAGGGTAAGAGTGGGCTGTGTGCTGTCTGGGTCAGGGACTTTCATTGTTTTGGAGCTGGCATGAGAAGGCAATCTGTGCACTTTCGATGATGACTCAATCCATGTGGCCGCTCGCTCCTGTTTACGAAATTTAGCTCGCCTGTTCTGAAACCAGACCTGAATAAAATAGAATAAAAAAGCGTTTTGAATAAATAAAAAATAAAAAATAATAACTTTTTTAGTAGGCTATTCAGTATAGTAGCGTATGGCTAATTGTGTTTTGTTGACAACTAACAGTCTGCGTCACATAGGCTACAGGCATTCACTCACAACCAACACTATAGGCCTATTTATGATAAATAAAAAGAGATTATATATAATAATACCTCTGAACATGTTGAAAAAAAGCAATTATGTTATTTTATTTCTTTAACTTTCTGGTTTGTAGTAGCTTACTGCCACTTTTCTCTAAAATCCTGAAGCTTTAGGCCCTGTTGTTCATTAGGCCTATTTGGGTTTACGACTATGAAGGTGGTCTTAAACTCTCTGACTGAGCCTAAACGGAACATAAGAAGAGAAGAACATATCGGCTACCTGAACTCGAGCTTCAGTAAGATGGATCTCCTGCGCGAGCTCTTCTCGCGTGTAGATGTCTGGATACTGAGTCTGTGAGAAAACGCGCTCGAGCGCTTTCAGCTGCGCGCTGGTGAAAATGGTGCGGACGCGTCTTTGTTTGCGTCTCTCCTGGATGCCTCGTTCATAACTCAAAAGATTGCGATGAACTGTAAATTAAATGAGATATTAATTGAACACACGAACAAAAAAAGTTGTACAATTGATAAATATTGCCTGCCCTACACTAAATATTTGATTAATGATTTTGTTGAACAAAGTCTCTTACGCTCACAAACGTTGCAGATATAGCAACAAAGTCTGTACAAGATCAAAATACATTATAGGCAACAGTAATTCTGTGAAATATTTTTACAATTTCAAATATTTTCTTCTATTTAAATAGCCTATTTAAAATTCCTGTTACACATTCACTCTGAAAAAGCTGGGTTGTTTTAACCCAAATTTGGATCAAATATGGGTAAACCATTGGGTTACATTTTTTAATTACATTTTTAACCCAATGTTTGAGTTTGTACATATTTGACCCACAATTGGATAATTGTGGGTGTTCCTGTTGTAGCAGTGCCACATCTTCATATAAAATCTTGAATTTATTAATGCTTTATTGCTTAATACAATTATTAATGTCTTTAAATGGCCTATAAACCCAAATTTATACAAACAATATAAATAGGCTAAATGAAAATGTATTAATTTTTTTTCTGTAGTTAAAAGGGTTATAGTTCTTTCAATTTTAAATCTTAGTCAAATTTCAAATGCAAATAGAATCCTTAATTAATAGACCTAATTAATGAATATGATTAAAGCACAGACCAACCTGTTATGTAATGTGAGGGTTGATGAGAACCGGCAGCCATCAAATGGCAACTGGTTGTGTTACCTAAATTGCACCTGTTATATTGAAAGCTGAAGGGCTGACTGCAGGAGCTGATAGAAGTTCGGCCAGTGTCCATCCCAGACTCGTATGAAGAAGAAGTTAGGTAGCTGTAATCCATCATTAGTAGGCTAAGCTATTGCAGTATTTAACTATGGAGCAGTCCGAACTGTTGTAACGCGAGGGCTCTGTGGCTTTTATACACGTGGCCGTGGGTCTCATTGTATTATTCTTTTGACATGCCTCTCCATCATCTCTGCCTCCACCTGCATCATATCATTCAGCGACCTATAGCCTAATGATCCAAATAGCCTCTACACTTATATCTATATTTTTCATAAATAAAATGTCCATTGTAAAAAAAAAAAAAAAGATTAAATCAACTTGGATTTTTAAATCAATTCAACTTATTTTGATGAGTTAAAGCGATGTAAAAGCACGTAACTTATTGATCATATCCTATTTTTTTCACATGTGCCTAAAATTAGTTTAAGTTAAACGTTACAAAGCAAATCTCTGCCGTTTCCCATTACACTGTGTGAATAATAGCTATAATAATACCCGAGAGATTTTACACAACTCAAAACATATTGATTTGTCATTTAATAGACGATTTATTTATTTATATTCATTCATTTAGTCAGCTTACAATTTAAATAACAACGTTCTACACCTCTGAAGGTGGTTTTATATTGCCTTTACCAGAAATATTTGTGCATTTGTCATGCTGTTATTGTATTTGTAATAGTATATTAAAAAGGACAGATTTTTATAGCCTAACAATGTAGGCTTTATATACAGTCCACGTTGCACACTTTTAGGCTAATTAAAATGTCAAAAGAACTAAAAGGACTGCAAAAAAAAAATTGTATGCAGTATGATACATAAAAGTTATAAAACCCTGTTGAAAATGCAGCAATTTTTCATAACCAAAAATGTTGTAGCCTATAAAGTTTCTTTGTAGGCTTTGTAGGCCTTTAGCTATTCACATTTATTTGATTTAGTTTGAACCTTGCCTGACATTTGACATGAACTAGGTCAAATATATATTGTGTCGTGTAAGTTTATATGTAGGTGGAGAAGAGAGGCAAGAGATGATGGAGTGGGTTTTGATGCAAATATCCACGCGTCTTTCTTTGTGTTGAACAAGCGGGTATCACGTTGAGCTGCTCAAAAGATTGGCGAGTGTGCAGTCCATCCATCATAACGTTATGAGAGCAACAGTCCTACACAAGAGCACCAGCTGAACAATATCAATGCTGCCATGATTAGTCTGTTCGGCTGGTACCATTAACAGCGTTTTTAAAAGGGACATCTGCGTACGTGTGAATTTGCCACAGGCACATTTGGGCTTAACAAAAGCTTTCTAATGATATCAAATGATAAATCACATTATTCTGTTACATTGCACGATATTATGACCCATAAACAAGGTGTAGCCTAGTGGTAAAAAAAAGAGCTGGGTAAATTATAAATTTTGGTGGACAAAGACGTGGTCACCGGGTAAGGTGGGTCACTGCCTACCGGTGTATGTGTGTCTCCTGATGATATTGCTATATAGGGAGGGCTCGACATTAAGCCTTTTCATACGCTAAGTAAATCTGCTATTCACTGCCATTCGTCTGAGTAAAAAAAAAATTGCTCGCCCGGATTTTTTTATTTATTTATTTTTTATTCTGAAACAATATTCTCATGAGTGATCAATCAGCTTTGATATTTAAATCACCATATTGTAATTTCTGCACCTTTAAAGTGCATCCCCTCCGCCAATGTATGCTTTATCTTTCATTTTAAATTCCTAAATTTGATCAATAAATTCAATTATTTCGAATAATAAGACACTATAGGGCTGTTACCCTAAGGGTTGATCGAATTAAATCATTTACACTGAAAAATTACAATTGCATAAAATAATGTTATGAAATTGATTTTAATTTACATATAAGAAACGTTGGAAAGAATGATGCTAAACGTGGTGGTGGCAGACTAGCAGGCGACCGTCTTGATGAGTGAGTCATTGATTAATTCATTCAAACGATTCTTTCAAACGGCTGATTCATTCAAGAATGGTGGTCATGAAAAATAGATGAGGTTGCTTAACATATGTTAAAAATATAAAACTCCACATTTAGATTTTTATTGGCAGTATGAGTGTGTGTGTGCTGCGCTCATTGTGTAGATTTCTGCTCGAGAGGCTGCGCGAGCGTCAACAGAGCAACCTTACCATCAACAACACTGACTGTAATGCAGCGCAATATGAAAGAGTTCGTCTTAGGTTTAACAACCTATGAAATTAATAATGAACAATAAACTAAAACGACATGCTTAATTTGAAATGTCTTAGGAACTACAGGATATTTAGAGGTGGATAAACGCAATTGAGAGGTGGATAAACGCACTTAGGAGGGAAACGCAATTTCCGAATATTGGGAGGTGCGTAAATGGCATTTACGTGGATTTAGCCTCCACTACATCTGGGTGTAGCTATGACATCACAGTACGGATTCGAAATTATACAGTATACAGTGATCAACTTGAAGCAGCACTGTACAGACGATTGGTGTATCGTGTATGACATCACAGTACTGATTCGAAAGCATACAGTATACAGTGATCGACTTGAAGCAGCTCTGTTTTTTTATGCAGAAAAAACAAATAGGCCTACAAATCAAGACATTACATACACAATACAACAAAACAGAGGGTTACAATCCATAAACTTAAATAACATTAAACAAGCTTAAATGATTGGCAGTATTGCAGAGTCTTTGCAGTAGAGTTTTTAGAGTTCTTCAATGAATTTAAATACATATCAATAGGCTATCTTTCTTAAAAATAACAAAGAATGAGTTTTCTTTGAAAATTTACATTTGTGAATAAAATTTGCCAAGAAAAAGTAGCAAATTAAGGACAATTTTAAAATGAAAGGGGTCTAATTTCATAGAGTCACCAAACATAATTTTTTGTTTCTACAGAAGTCTAAAGAAAGATACCTTTTAATAAAATTTGAAAACACAATCCAAAAGATTTTTCAATACATACATTCCCAAAACAAATGAATAATCGTTTCATCAAACTGATGACAAAAGGAGCACAAGAGGGAAATGGTATTATTGAATTTAGCAAATTTATAATTAACTGGGTAGCAATTGTGAATCATTTTAATTGAGACTTCAAAAACTTTATTAGATAAGAAAAATTTTTGCCGAAGGAGACAGAAAGCCTCCCACCCTATCATCAAATTTATTATTCCAAAAACTTACACAGGCAGGTAAAGAAATCTGATTTCTGTTAAGAATTGAGCACATTTTCTTATTTGACAATCTACTGAAAAGACATTGGTCAACAAAAAGATGAGCGTTGTTAAAGTTATTTTTGCAGTGTTAAATCCATGAATGTTGTTACCCAGGACAAAGATAAAATCATTTAAAGTAACTAATAAAAAAAGAAAATGAAGAAGCACTGTACAGAGTACAGAAGATTGGTGTATGACATCACAGGACTGATTCGAAAGCAAACAGTGATCGACTTGAATCAGCACTGGACAGAGGCTACAGAAGATTGGTGTATGACATCACAGTACTGATTCGAAAGCATACAGTGATCGACTTGAATCAACACTGGACAGAGTACAGAAGATTGGTGTATGACATCACAGTACTGATTCGAAAGTATACAGTGATCGACTTGAATCAACACTGGACAGAGTAGAAGATTGGTGTATGACATCACAGTACTGATTCGAAAGCATACAGCATATAATGATCGACTTGAATTAGCAGTGTACAGAGCAGTGGCGGATGCAGAACATGACAGATGGGTGGGCCTGGGCTGGATTAAGTCGAAGTGGGCCAGAATCGAGGGTTTCTAGATTTTGTAGCTTGCCTGTACTATTATAGGCTATATATGAAGATGAGAAATAAAAACAATGCACGGTACAGCTATGATCAGCTGTTCTGTCGAGCTTTCGAAGTTGTTACGGAAAGGCCGAAGCTGATCAGTTGGTTTTTGTCACAAGACCTGCGGTGCGCTTGCGGCACTCTCTGAAAAGTTGAGATGTTGTCATCTCGCCGCGGCATATGCACGGGTTGGCACGCCTGGACATTCGAGCGCGCTGCAGCCTGCATCACATGCATATGGCAAGCCTAAATATTCACAAACGCTGGTCAGGCGTCTGATTGCACACTGACCCGTCAAAAGCATGCTGGACGCGCGATTTGCCATAAAAACGCGTGTTCTTAACGTGCACTATATGTGGTCACGGAAAACACGCGTCAGAAACTCGTGGTTTATGCATTTTTTAAAAAAAATAAATAATGTATGAAATCTTATTGTAAAGTGTTACTGGAAATACAACTGGAAAATTTGCTATATGTGTCTCGAATGAAGGGATTAGGTACTGTCCAAGGTGCTGAAATAATAATAAAAATAAAAAAAAAACAGTGAACGTGAAACCGAGTTGTTTTTCTTTTCTTGTTACAAAAACACGTCTGAGGCATAAAACACCTGCAGACAGAAACAATCTCGTTGCTAGGAGATGTCTATGAATGGGCAAGCTTATATTCTGGCAAGCTTCGTAAAACCTCTGGTAAAACTGAACGAATTTGGATTTTTTTAAACTAGGCTATCTCTATCTCTATCTCTATCGGATTTTACAAAATTTTTAAGGTTTGTTTGCTTATTATTAGTAAAAATACAATTATCCATCTCCTTATAAGTTTCAATTGTGAATTATATAATTAAATATTTAATCTTCGTTTTTTGTTGTTGTTAAAACAAGAAATGTCAAACAAATGGAACGACTGTGTTTTATATTTTATCATTTCTAAAACTGAGTCGTTCCTTCACGTTCTTTTTTTTTATATAATTGAATACAAAAAATACATACAACCAAGGCAAACGTATTCTTTTTACAATGCGTAGGAATGAGTAAAAGGCTCAACACAATTTAACAAAACATAAATAAAATTTTAAATCATAACTTATATTAACTTAAAATTAACAAAAAATAAATAAAATAA